GAGTTTGCTTGCTCGGGACGGTAATTTCACCATGACAGTTGATCCAATGGGAATATCAATAAGGTAGTGATTATCATCAAATCTTTTTCTCTGTAATTTCATTAATTCGTTCGTTCTTTGGTGTATAGCGGGAAAGACGATGTCAGCCATGTATTCAGCCTTTTTTATCAAGTCATCCACTGTAGAAACCTTATTTGGAAGAGAAGATTGTGTTGAAGGGTCGTTACGATCCTGTATAGTAGGGAACTGTCGAGCAAACATAAGTGAGAAAGGACTACTGCCTGTTCTATTGCGTATTTTTAAATTACAACACAATTGTGCTGCTGGTAAGATCGTGTCCCATTTGCTTGTATCATTGCCACACATTTTCCTAACCGTATTTACGATATTTTTCACAGCATTTTCTGCGCAACCGTTGGATTGAGGGTAATAAGGTGTGGAGAAGCGATGAGGTATGCCGAGGGTCTTTGTAATCGACGCCATCAACCCATTCCGATACTCACACCCATTATCTGTTAAAATTGCGGTACTAGGTAAACCATAGTCGCCAAAGATCTGACAGAGAGCATTTGCAACAGTATCACTTTGTTTGTTCGGGAGAGCCTTTGCTACGATATAGCGAGTACAGATATCAACGACAATGAGGATGTAGACATTTTGATTAGCAGTTACACTGAAGGGTCCAGCCATATCTGATGCAATGTGTGCAAAAGGTTCGGCAGCTACTATAGACTTTAATGGATGATACCCTTTTCGAGCTATATTGTGTCGTGCGCAATCAATACAACTGCTGACCACTTGTTTAGCTTCGGTGAATATTCCAGTCCAGTGTAATCCTTCTTCGTGCAATCTTTGGACGATACTTTCTGTACCGAAATGTCCCAGATTATGTGCATCACGTAATAGTTTATGTCTGTTTTCAATCGGTGGAGCGATATAGTCGGTAGGATTTGTTTTGTACTGTGGAGAGTCTATTTTCACGGCTAATACATTAAGGTTTGCGTCTGTGCTCTTAATGCTTCGTTTGTAAATAAACTTATCTGTCGATGTGATTTTATCGGTAGATTTAAAACTTTCAACGGGATTTCGTTTTCTTCTTTCCAAAATAATTCGATTCAATTGTTTGATCTTTTTATCTTCTTCTTCAAGTTCTTTATCATCATCTAAAGGTGGATATAGTCTGCTGAGCAGGTCAGGCAAGACGTTATCAATTCCTTTGATGTAGGTGACCGTGAATGAAAATTGATTTAAAACATCCATATAAGATTGAATTGTTCGATTTGGAACGTGCGTGGTATAATAAAATGTAATAGCACGGTGATCGGTCCAGACTTCTATTTTTGGATGACCCAGTAATAAGGATCGAAATCTTTGGAATCCGTAATAAATGGCAAATAGTTCTCGTCGATTGACTGACCAGTTTTGAGCCGATGTAGGTAAAGATGTACTTGCCATAGCGATGATGATGGTTCTATTCTTATCATCACGTTGAGTTAAAACGGCAGATGCAGCATATTGCGAGGCATCTGTTTCAAGATACATTTTATTTTCCATACGAGGTGTGTGTAACACAGCTTTAGACAGTAGTATTTGCTTGATATTATTTAGACGATCAGTATGAAATTGTGTCCATTTGTTTTTCACATCTTTATCATTTCGCAATTTATCTAAAGGAGCAGCTATGTCAGATATCTTTGGTACGTAATTTCTCAGATATGAGACGACACCCATGATTTTTCTGACTTGTTCAGCTGATTTAGGAATAGGCCATTCGTGGATATTAGACAGTCTACGTTGATCAATTTTTGTGATGCCAGGTCCAATAACGAACCCGAGCATGTAGATACTGGTTTTAAAGAATGTGCATTTAGCGTAATTAATTTTTAGATTAGCAGCAGTTAATTTATCGATTGCTCTCTTTACAATGCTGGCATGATTCTTAGCATCAGAGAATATACAACAATCATCAACGTACGTGGCTATTTGTGCTTCACCATTAAAAATGATATTCATAACGCGGCAAAATTGACTAGTGACAAATTTGAGACCGAAACAAGTTCCTACCCATTTATAGGTTTTATCATCAAACATAAAAGATAGTACTTCTTGACTGGCTTCATCCACTTTGAAGCTATTGTATGCAGACTTTAAATCAAGCCGACTAAATACAACTCCAGTAGATACCTTGTCAAAAATATCTTGGATATTAGGGACAGCAAAATCTTCTACCAACGAATCATCTATGTTCATGTTTTGTCTTCTGAGATCAAGACAGATTCTTGTATTGGTAAGATTGTTATTTTCATCCTTTTTTCCAATGGCTAATAATGGTGAATTAAATTTGTTACTTGGCTTACTCTCTACTACAACCCCTGAACTTAACCATTCGGCTAATTGTTTCTTTATTTCAGGTCGAGCATGATAAGGTAACGGGTACTGACGGATGTAACAGTTTGTGGCATCCTTCTTTATAGGTATTCTAACGATACTTTCAGGAATATTGCAAAACTGACCCGGTTCAATTTCAGCGTTTCTTTTTACAGAAGGTTCAATAAAATTCATAAATTGTTCTCTTTCAATCGCTGTGCCAAATTCAGCATTTTCAGGATCATATTTATCCGAAGGATCATAGTTAGCGTTTTCGAATTGAATATCTTCAGATTCTTCATCATCTGGATATTTATGTGCTACATTAGTTAAACCAATATTTAAATGAGTTAGGATATCTGTGCCTAACAATATGTCATATTCTGTATCAAGTGGATCTAAAAATTCAACCACTTCAAAACAAAATTCAAAACTTATATCATTAAGATATCTAACTTTCATAGGTTCAGTTTGACCGATTCTTTTAGCAGAGTTAGAGAGGAAATTTAAATTGCCTTTTGTAATATTTATTTTTATTTGAGGAAAGAGATTATTTAAAATGTATTTATTGATACATGTGGTGTCACTTCCTGTGTCTACTTTTCCTTTCAGTTTTCTATTATTAAGAATGAGAGGAGTGATTAATGATTTGTAAGGATTGAATACATTTTCATTTGCTTTCTTACATTCATAACTGTCATTTTCAAAGTTGTTGGATGGGCCGCCACGATCGGGCTTCTTTCCTTTACGATCTTTGTTGACAGAGAGGATTTTCTTATCACCAAATTTATCAAGATATTCTTGACAACGATGTCCGTGAGACCATTTCTTACCACAGTGGGTGCAGGGGACAAAAGAGGTAGCAGGCTTGGGTCGGTTCTGACTTCCAAGGAATTTTCGTTGATGACTGGGGCCATCGAAGGTGCGAGAGGTGTCATCGGTAGACTTACCTGCATACTTGCAAGTGGATTCATCATGGGAGTTGTTATCTCCGTGATACTTACAGTAAAATTTAGCATCGTGGTTCGTACGTTTTTTAGGCGCACGATTGGCATCAGACGTGTCGTACGACTTACGCTTGTGTCCAGAGGAACTGCCATCATTATTGGGCGTTTTATCCCCAAATACATTAGTTGCAGCCTTATACACATCTTCGGCTGTCCAGGGGACATTTTCCACTTGGTGTGAATTTACAACTGTCATTACGTTAGTTTGCCAATGAGCAGGCAAGGCAAGGAAGTACAAGTCGGCCATGATTCGGTCCGAAACTTGGTACTCAGATTCTTCGACCATTTGAATGAATCTGTTATCAAAGTCCGAGATATTTTCATCTGAGTGCATACACATGGAGATTAATTCCTTGGTAGCAAGGACACGCATCTGACGATTGCCAAATTTCTTTTCAAGGACTTTCTTGGCTTCGGCCCAAGAGTCACAGACAAGGAGTTCTTTTCTCATCCAAGCTTTCAAGACGTCGGCGAGTGAAACAGTAATTAACTTTTTCCACGTAGTCTTCACGTTTTGATTCGCGGACAATACGACTTCCTCAAAAGTCTTGATGAAATCATCAATGGACTTAAAAACTCTCTCACCACGAAATTGTGCATAAGTCTTTCCAGTAATTTGGAGACGAGGCAGATCTGTACGATTTAATGATAAACCTTCATTTGAGGCTGGGTTAGTAGCGTACTTTGATGCTTCGGTACCTTTAATCCCGATGGATGGTACAGGCTTAGAAGTAGAGGCTAAAGATTGGATGATGGAATTCTTTTTCTCAATCTCAAGGGACATTTCATAGGCACGATCATGATCCTCTTTAGATACATAACCGCTAGAAAGAATAGCTACCATGGCTTCCGTAGTAGCTTCACGTTGCTTAAGTAAATTATTAATGATACTAGTGGGGCTTTGTAAAGTTACAGCCGTAATAGGATCAGCTAAAGGCATGTCAGTGTCTAAATCGACTTCCTGATTATCCTGCTCAAATGGAATACGGGCGATGTCTTCATCTATTTCCCTATGTACACGTTCATCTTGTGCAGCTTGCCATTCAGCAGAGGCTTGCTCATTCAAGGGAGTGTTTAAAGTAGCGTCAGGAGTACCAGCAGACATTTCCTTGTTGGATGAACCAGAAGCGAGTTGGTCATAGGCACTAGGGCCGGAAGGAGAACCAGAAGTAGTCATAGTAGTGGATAGTAGTTGGAAGTAAAAAGTTTACAAGGAGGTAATCTTAAAAAATGTGGAAAAACGGTTTGTTTGACACGGAAAAATAAAAGATAAAAAAACAGGAAGAATAAGATTAATATTGCTTGTAGGCTTTTTTATTCTTATTAAAGTCAATCCCTCTTTCATCTCTGAAAGAAAGGGGGGTATTTATAGTTATTTAAAGCGTGGGTAAAATTATGGCTCGTTTGTGTTCACTTGGTATTATTGGCTGTATTTACTAATGACTGATGAGCCTTATCAGTGTAGCCAATCTATTATTCGAAATGGGATCTTCTATTGGAATATCTAGTAACCCTGAGTTGTAAATGTATAACTCAGGATATTTTTTATGCTATTATTTTTTTATGAGTGTTATGATATTATGTACCTGTCGATCAAGGATCGATGGAATGATTTTATATGCGATTTTATATGTTAAATAGTGCGATTTTAGTACACTTATTACCAATTTTTCCTTTGATCCTTGGAGCGTGGTTTCCTTGAGTTACAATAGTATCGAGCTCCAACTTTTGATACAAGATGTCGGTAATTGCTACTTTCTCTTGCGCCTTCGTATTTTCAATTGGTCTTCTAAATTCCGTATGTGCTTTGGAAGATAGATTTACAATGTCATCGAAAGATAACTGGAACACCTTGTTTTGTCTTAATTGTTTAACCAAACTTGCTGTGGGAGTTTTGGTTTTTGGGGGGGACGCATCATCATTGGAATTAAATATCTCAACCCTGGAATCAGCACAATCATGGTCAGCTTCATTGCCAATTGTCTCTTCATCCTCTGTTGTACGAGTACCAAGAGTGGGGTCGCAATGGAAGTCGTCCAAATCTAACCGGACCTCTTTGATGCAGCTGTTGCTTTCATCCTCCTTTTCTTCAGTCGTGGAAGTAGTGGCTTCAGTAACATTGCAGGAAGTATTTTCAGTGTCCTTCTGTTTAGTTTCCATAAGTAAGGGCGGCTCTCCAACTTCCTTGGCGACTTGGCTACGCAATTTCTTTTTGATGATATTATTTCTTGAGATTTCAGCATCGTCGCTAGTACGCTTGACCATCAACACTTCTCCAACTATTCCCTCACAAAGATCATCTGTAATTCCCATTAACAGAGCAGCAGGTCCTCCATTGGTGATTGCGCGTGCATCATCTGGCGTAGGTCTACCATAATTTGTTCTTGCGGGCTTGACTGGACAGAAGTAGCGCTTATGCTCCGTGCTATTACAGTGTTTACAGGGAGATGGGCAATCACGATCTAGATGTCCAATGACGTTGCAGTTATAGCATGCACCTGTTACTCGTGGACTTGTAGGCTTGTTCATTGCATTTTGCTGCAGTAATAGTAACTTATTGTTTTGCTCCAGGACACATAGTAGGGCAGATTGGAAGTCCGGTAGTGTAGAGGATGTCACTTTGCTAGATTTGGATTTTCTTTTGGCCTTTTTCGTAGGCTTGTCTTCGTCGGAATCACTTGCATCCGTATCACTGTCCGAATCATCTGACGAGCTATTGTCTGATGAGTCGTCATCTTCATATTCCTTTGCAGATTTGTATATTTGTTTAATTGACTCGGCCTTCTTAGAGTTTAGGAAACGTCTCATGTCAGCTGGTGACGAGTTACGTATAAACAACTGAATGTAGAACTTGGTGTCATGTGTGCTACTTGTTTCATTGTTTCTTGTTTCAGAGTCTTGGTTTGTACTACCCTGTTGTCTGAAACTAGCTTCCCGATCCGTCATGGTATCGTCAAACTTCGTGATGAATTTCGAAACGCTCGCAAAGTTTTTCCGCTTGATAGCCATCATCTCATTCAAGTAATAGATATCGTCACGCGTGGGTATGTCCAATTTCTCTCGCAGCTCTTGTTTGAATACAAGCCAATCGTCAAATTTTCGTGAAACAACCCAATTTAGTAACCTTCCCTTGAAACATTGATGGATTTGTTGCAGCTTTTGTTTGTCTGAGCTCCATTCATTCAGTTCCGCAGCTGTTTCAAAGATAGAAAAAAAGACTTCTAAGTCTTGGTCTTTACTGTATTTAGGTGGTTTCGTGAACATGATTGTTTTTGGTTTAATAGAATTTATATTGTTTTGTGAATTGATGTTAAAATCAGTAGTGGTGGTAGGAGTAGCAGGTGAACTAGGCAGTGCTTCCTCCAATTGTAAGTGGGCTAATTGTTCTGTCAGTTGATGTGTTTTTGGAGTGCTTGGTGATTTGCTGTCAGAAGAGAGGTGTTCAGTCTCTATCTGATTGAGCTTACTAAAACTTGTGTTTGAAATGATGCTTGGTCTGCTTGTACTTGTGCTTAAATATTACTACTACTTGGAAGGTATTCCACTTGACGCCGATACCAAATGTTGCGGGGAAATAAATTGTTCTTTTTAAAAGTAATGTGAACGGTAGACAACTCAGCAACTGTAGAAATGAATGCAATTTGTTAAGTATGAGAACCGATGACTTTATTAATTAATATTACCTGTAGAAATGAATGCAATTTGTTAAGTATGAGAACCGATGAAAAGGGGCTCTCAATTGCATCCAGGTCTACGGTTTATATAATAATACAAAATGGGCGAAGTCACAAATAGACCCAATAAACAAAATAAAAAAAAAAACAAAATTGCAGAGACAATCTTAGAACCCGTGACAACATTACAAACATTGTTGCCTAAAGCTGGTACAGGAAGAATTATGAGGGGATAGCATGCTTTCGTTTTCCGCTTGCGATCGGTTTCCTTTTAAAATGCTAACACTCCCATCCATTACTTCTTGTAAATGGAGTTGCAATAATCTCGCTGCAGTTCTGAGAGAGTTGTAGAATTGAACATGATGCTACCTCCGGTATGACTAGCTCGAAAGACAAGAGGCTTAATGCTGGTTAGCCCACATTTTTGGCTTATTAGACGGAGTATAAAATACGTAGTTGTAAGCCTTAGAGATTGAATGAGAAAAAAATACAAAAATGACCAAAAAATGACCATATATGGCAAGCCATAGTATGCCATCTGAAAAATAAAAACCCTCTCATTATGTGCCAAGTGTTAGTAATTTGAATAAAATATTGAAAAGAGAACTCAACAATGTGAGAAAAAGAAAGAAAAAGATAAACAAAAACTTTTGATGGTGACATCGGACACCATGTAGATGACTTATAATGATGTTGAGTCAAACAAATCTACTCTGCTCTTTTTCTTTTGAAAAATGACTTTCTCAATATTGACACAATAATGTCTTAAGACTTTATCAATGCGGTTATTTTTGAAAATAATTACCTCTCCATACCAGCAGTTGTGAGCAGCCAATTTTGAGAACCATGTATTATGTCATCTTACCCTCCGGGAACCACGTATTTTTACCGCAGCGCAGCGCAGGTCAAAAAATATGTGGTCGGAGGGGCCGTCTAATAAGCCTTTTAAAAAATGGGATCAGCGACCCGAAGGGGAGCCCCATTTTTTTTTTTCTTTTTTTTTTCTTTGCTTACTTTCAAGTCCAACACCTTCAACAAACTGGTTCAACTTGACTTGAATATTGGCCTTCTTATGAGCGTGTCTCTATTCTCACCCACCATTTACATTAATACTCTCATTCTTTCTCATTCTCTTTTCTTTTCCGTCTCACCTTGAGCACTTGGCTAGAACAAGACAACAAGTTCTTTCCGAAGGGACGTAAAATGAAGGACATGTTTTTTTAAAAAAAATATATATATGTAAAGAAAAGAAAAATGTCAACGACAGGGCGGGAATGAATATCACCCATAAAAAAAAATATTTGCCGGCCCCAAACTGGGGTCCTCCCCTCCTTCCACCTCTTGGTGGCTTATTATCTCTCTCCCAGCAGCAACAGCAGCAGCATCTCAACCCATAAAAAAATCCAATTATAAATAAAAAATAAAAAATGGCCTTTAGTAACCCATATACACGCTCCGTGCTAAGTGCTTTAGCATGGGTTCCTGTTGCCATCTTTTTCGTAGACCATGGCTATAGTTACGCCGTCATTAGCGGTCGTTCTATGCAGGTAACAAAAAGAAAGCTTTCTCCCCCCCCCCTTTTTTTTATATATTATTGTAATAAAACCCACAACTTTAACAAAAATAATAATAGCCAACATTCAATCCAGACTCCAACCTCATGGAAAAAGACATTGTCTTGTTAAACAAGTGGTCTACCACAGACCATAAATTCGATAGAGGCCAAGTCGTCACTTTAAAGTAACTCACTCTTTCCTACCCCCAAAAAACACACACACATACACTTACATACACATATACACATAGATCACCCATCGATCCCAAAGTCACCATCACAAAACGTATTCTTGCATTACCGGGAGATACCGTACAACCCCTTCGAAAAGACGAGATTGTCCCCATTCCTGCAGGTCATGCTTGGGTAGAAGGCGATGAGGCCTTTCATTCGAGAGACAGTAACTCCTTTGGCACCGTAAGAAGCACTTTTATATATATATATTTGTACTGAACTAACCATCCTTTTATGTATAAAAAAAAAGGTTCCTATTGGCTTGATCAATGCTAAAGTCACCTACATTTTATGGCCACCCAGTAGATTTGGACCCGTTGAAAAGAAACCTGTCAATAAGGACAGGGTTCAAACCAATGTCTATCATCCTGGGCGTGATGAATAATTCTCTCTCCCCACACCCTTTTTTTTTTGCATATATGTATGTAATAATAAACGGGATTTCAAAAAAAAAAAAAAAAAAGGGTGTGTGGTTACTATAGAAACGGGATCTGTCATAAAATTAAGCCTGTCTTTATAAGGACTTCCGTGATAGAGTTTTTCTCATATTGAAGGGTGTCATAAACCGCCAAGTTAATCATGGAGTGAAAAATTTTTCTTTCTGTGCACAACTTGGTTAAGGAATCTTTTAATATTTAGAAAAACAACTCCAAAGGACCAAATAGCTCACCTTACTTAGGGGGAGAGGTTTTACAAACAGTCTTATTTTAAAGTTGCAATGAACTGTTAAACTTTCCCTCCCTCCCTCTCAAAAGGACATTTTATCATTAAAAATTTAAATACAAAGATTTGTTCTCATATAATGAAATATTGCAATTCATTTTTTAATTAAATCACCCTTTCTTCTTTTATATAATTAAATTAATTATTCTCCCAAGGGGGTAGTAGAACTTTTTTTTTTTTTGACACACTTGAGGGATGGTACCATCTACTCCCCCCCCCCCTCACCCCACGTGGCGGCAAAGGGGTCGGAAAGACTTCGTAATTAAAGGAGTACCCAATCCGTTAAATACAGAAACAAAATATATATCAATCTCTCTCGGGAGATAGGCCTTTTCACAGCTTACAAAAGATACTCTTATTACACACAAAATAGACTTGTGACATTTTTTAGAGCATTCATCTCCGACCATCAATTCAGATTCATGCAGCCCATTTGTCCGTATAGCTTAATCTTTATCCTCTAGAGACCCTGTAGTTCATACTGAAAAAAAAAATCACAAAAAAATCCTAAAAGGTGTATACATGGATATTCATACAGATACATTGTACGTAATAAAAGTCTTTTACTTTAGATAGCTGCTGCTGGATTTCCCCCCCCCTTTCCCACTGTTGTATAGGGATTCAAATTACCTATTGACTTAGTAAATTGTACTACTTGATACTCTTCTTGACTATAATAACTAATCCAACTTTTAATGGTCGGATATTGGTTTATATTTGATTGGGGTGTAAAAGGCTCTGTTTTATTATTTTTGGGTTTTTCTGTATCTTATAATTAATTCTTGTTCTACATTGTACTACTGTGTGCCTGAATTAGCCAGTATCAGGTGGTCATAATTGATCACTTTCACGGCTGCTCACAGTTTTTATCTTTTCTTATTTTTTTGTTCATTTACACGTCACACTATTCGGCCTCATCACACCACATGCCCAACTGGAAGAAATTTGATTGGCCTTAAAAAGTGCTTACATCAGCGGTGGCTGAAACGGGGATATAAATACAACATCCCCCTCATGTTTGCTTTTTTTCTCCCTCCTCAGTTAGTAGCGATTCTATCTGTGGGTCTTTCTGTATTGGTTGGTTTAGATGGGAATTACATGGTCTCACTTCGGTGCCCAAAGGTCATTGTACATTCTGATGTATAACTACGCACTCACTAGTCACACAGCCTCGGTTGTGGTTTGAGGAGACTGAGAAAAAGTGGACGACGTAAACAGTGAAGCTTTTTCGAATCTCTTTTAGTAGTTTTAAGTCATTGACTTTCTTCCTTTTCTTGTGTTGGGTAATAGGGTGACTAGTCCTTCACTTACTTTTAACCGTAAAAGGAGAGGGTTTCTTTTAGGCTGGTTAGTATGGACAGTTCTCACCGGTTGGATATCCCTACACAGACAACAACTGTGTTTCTTGTTCGTAGTAAAAAGAGTTAACAAGTAATCGAGCACAAGAGCTTGTTTCTCTCTTCTATTATTGATGATAACCTCCGTTGCTGTCTCAAAAAGGTGCGTGCAAACATCTTTTTATTTTTTAATTTTTTGGGACGAGATGTGCTTCCACCTTCTCGTGGTTTGTCCTGTTAATCATTTGTAGCTCTTAAATGACTGCTTTTGAGAACTGAGAGAAGCACAACGTTTGAAATAAATAAAACTGTTTAAAATAAAGTATAAAGTAAAATCGTGTCTTTTTATGTAAAGTATATTGTATTCTCATGTAAAGATCTTGTATTCTCATGTAAAGATGGAGATAGTATTTGCCCTTTAAGTATGAATATAGTGAGCACCCATCATACAGAGGATATCTACTTTTTTATTTTGCAAATGATGAAAGATTTTATTTTGGTTAAAGGGGAATATTCTATCACTTGAATTTTATATACATATTACACATTCTCAATGGTGATGGCAGCATCTCTTGTTTAGTGGTTGGATTTTCTTGGGTCGGCTTATAAAGTACAGGCGAGTTGATTGGTTGGAAATAAAAACGGTTTCCGGGGGAACCACATAAAACCTTTTTTTTTAATTTTTGACACATCTTTTTTCCCTTTTTACAATAAAAATGAGCCAAGAAGCCAAGTTACCTACAGAAGAGGAAAAGTTCCACGCATTAACCGTGTTTATGCAAATGAACGATGATGAAGAGCCTACACAAGAAGTGGCTGATGCTTTGATGGTTGTCTTGAAGTGCTCTGGTGTTGATACCGAAGGATTTACGATGGAAGAAGCCTTTGATAGCTGGAACAACTTGTGTACCAATAACCCTGATGCCATTAAGAAATTCTTTAAGGAAGTCATGGGTGATCGTATGCCTCAACAAGGTGGTGACGGATGTGGCTGTGGTAGCCATCATGAAGAGCATAAGCATGGTAAGGAATCTTTTGTGTGTGTGTGTGTGGAAATTGTGTACTAATAATATTTTGTAATGTAGACGAATAATCTTTAGAATATATGAAAAATACCTAGTCTGTCGAATACCTGTATATAAATTAAACATTTTTGACATCTTTTTGGTTCTTGTCCATCCGCAAAATCTTTTTTATTTTTATTGAAAGATTGTCTGTGTTTAAAGTTAGCGCCAATAGCAAAGTGAGTCACACACGCTAAATGTCATAGGGCTCAGATTTATCTGATCCAGCCAACTAGACAGAATGTTGTTGGCCATGTTTAATTGAAGAGAGATAATTAGTGTGAAAGGATATCCTGTTACCTCATAAGAATGATATGAATAAGATATCCAACCCTCCCCCCTATTTTTTTTAGTAAAGTCCCTGCAGAAGGAAAAAGGCAACAACAATAAGAAAAAAAAAAAGGGTGATGCAAAAAAGTGATCTAGCTACACAATATAAATTTCTTGCGTTACCTTGGCTAGACATTTTGATTGGGTGAAAAGCCCTTCCATTCGACTCTTTCCGTGAAGAAACTCAAACTGTCCCGGATTGGTGCCTTTTTTAACATATAAATATTTTTTTCAGTTTTCTCTTTTCTCTTTTCTTTCTTTCGTTCCTCATAAAAAAAGAAGAAAAATGCCTCCCTTTGTTGAAAGTGAAGAAAAGGACAACAGTCTTCGATCAAGAAAGGCAGGAGATGAAGGCCATCCTGATTCCAGACATCCTCTTTATCTCGGTGATTGGAAGCGATCGATTCCTTATGAGGATGAAGATTTCGCCCGTGACAATATGGATGAACCTCATTTAAAGCGTAAGCACACCATCTTGAGAGAACATCCCGAAGTCGAAAAGTTATATGGTACGGATATTCGCACACTCTACGTGACTTTAGCCATCAATGTGGTTCAGTTAAGCATTGCTTATACTTTTGGTAAGGTCTGGACACCGCCTATTTATATCTTTGCTCTGGTAGCATATTTCATTGGTGGTACCTTGACAGGTATGATTGGTGTCATCATTCATGAAGCCTGTCATTGTTTAGTGTTCAAGACAAAATGGATGAATAGATATGTTGGATTATTTGCTAATATTTCCTTACCTGTACCCATTGCACAATCATTCCGTCGTTATCATATTGAACATCACACTTGGCAAGGTGTTGAAGGTATGGATCCTGATTTGCCTCTTGATTGGGAAAAGAGTTTGATTCGTGGTAATGCTTTATCCAAGTTCTTATGGATCATGATCTACCCTGTTATGTATGTTGTACGTGGTGCTGTCATGCAACATGATCGTAACTTGACTCCATCCAAGTGGGAAATTATCAATGTTATCTTTACTATCTGCTCTGATGCTCTTATCGTTTATTTCTGTGGATGGCGTGGTTTGGTCTACTTATTGACCTCTCTCTGGTTTGGTTATTCTCTTCATCCCGGAGCCGCTCATTTTGTACAAGAACATTATACATTTGATGATGGACAAGAAACTTACTCTTATTATGGTATCTTGAATTTCCCATTCATGAATATTGGTTATCACAATGAACATCATGATTTCCAAAAGATCCCTTGGTCCAAGCTCCCTGCTCTTCGTGCCATGGCTAAAGATTACTATGACAAGTTATCCTATCATACCTCTTGGCTTATGGTCCATTACAAGTTCATTTCTCAACCTTCCGTTGGTCCTCAATCTCGTGTGATTCGTACCTACGATGATCACAAGAAGGGTCGCACTTTACTTGGTAAAATGCGTGCTTACGATTTATCAAAGAAGGCCAAAACACCCGTCACTACTCAATAATAGAAATACCCTCTGTCTTCATTAGCATTTTTTCTCTTTTTCAATAAAAATATCGAATCCCTAAGACTGTAATTAAAAACTCTGTTCTCTGACCTAAATACCATGTCTATGCTGTAGTCCTAGTCAAAAATTACGCGTCACAAATGCTCCTTCCTATAAGCAACCCTTCCTATTTTTTTTTTTCTTGTTTATTTTCCTTTCTTTTCTTTCTTTGTATACACATGAATTCAAACCGTATAACAGAAGACGAGGTTTTATCGCTTGTGATTAGGTATGCTTCTTTTTTTTAAAAAAATAGATAAAATAAGACTGTTTAGCTAAACACTAACAACCCCTCCAGTCAATTGGTTGCGTATGGCTATTCCGCTGTAGCTCAAAGTGTGGCTGACGCGACAGGTGCAACTACCGACATGATGCCAAGCGCAAGGCTCTCCGAACTTTTACAAATTGCCAAAGACAAAAGTAAGCCTATCACCTTTTCTTTTGCATGTACAACATTACAATTGGTATTTACTCTCTTCTTTTTTTTTGTAGACGAGGAGGAAGATTCAGACGACGATTATTCTGGAAAGGACTTTGATCGTGAATCACCTAGGGAAGACATGGATGTGCACATGAATGTATCTGGCTTTGACGTGGAGTCTATGCGTAATGCCCGTAAGTCTTTTTATTTTATTAAGTAAACACGCTTGTTAAATATGTTCATAGAGCCCAAGACGGCACCGGAATACAACCAGTTATATTACACGCAACACAAAGGACCTTGTAGAACAGCTATTTTCAGTGGGGATGGACGGTTTGCAGCAACCGGGTCTCATGATTCCTCGCTGAAATTGCTTGATGTCAATAAAATGAAGAATCGGTCAGGGGATGCAGGGGATAAACCCGTGATTCGTACATTGTATGATCATTTGGAGCCAGTCAATGATCTTAGTTTTCATCCCAACGGACTTGTCTTGGCCAGTTGTTCTAATGACCAAAGTATTAAATTGTTTGACTTGTCCAAGACGGGTGTCAAGAGAGCATTTCGATATTTGCAGGTATACTATAAACATACATGTATTTAGCCTCCCAAGACACTTACCATATATATATGTAAAGGATGCACAACCTGTCAACTCCATTTCTTTCCATCCTTCGGGAGACTTTTTATTAGCGGGTACAAAAGATGCTGCAGTGCGAATTTACGACGTAAAGACACTTCAATGTTATACAAATTCAAGTAATGCAGATATGCATCGTGGATCTATTTCGCAAATCCGATACTCCAACACGGGTAAGATTTTTGCGACCTCATCATTGGACGGCACTGTACGTATTTGGGATAGCACTACTTCGCATTGTATTAAGACATTGGATGGAGCGCATGGTGGAACAGCTGTTTCGAGTGTAAGATTTACCAGCAATGAGAAATATTTGATGACGGCAGGATTGGATAGTACTGTGCGATTATGGGATATCACCAGTGGCAAGGTGCTGATGGAGTATAAGGGACATGAGCAGCGATTACAAATGTTACAGCCTTCGTTCAATTACAATGAAGATTTCATCATGATTGGTGATGAATCCTCTACAGATGTCATTTGCTATGATACACAAACGGGTGCCTTGGTGAAGAGAATCCCAGGTCATAACAATCTTGTGAGATGTGTTGCTGCATCACCTGTGGATAATGGCATTTTGACATGCAGGTAAATAATGGAACTGTCGTGAGTTTGATAAGGAATGTTTACTAATGGCCTTTTTTTTTAAAAAAAATAGTGATGATTACCGTGCTCGTTATTTTAACGCTTAAATGGATGAATATGTTTTTTTGGGAATTTTTCTTTTTTTTTTTTTTTTTTTTTTTTTTACTATTTTTTTTTTAATTTTTTTTTTTTTCTTATGGAGAGTTTATAAAAAAAGTTATGTCAAGTGTTTGTATGCTCATTTTAGGAAGTAATGGATAGATGTACAGTGTTTTGGATTTGAAGATAAATAGCGATCTATAATTGCCAAACTAAATTAAAAGTATACTGGACTTTCTTTCCATTGGAATTTGACTTTATTGTTTTGTACAAATCTCGTGTCAGTGTCCATGGTAACACACGGCTAGATATTTCATGTTTAAACGAAATGCCATTCTATATGATTAAATAATCAAGTACCTCCCTTCAGATTACAATGATTATTTTGACTGGGAAATGAATTGCTACACTGATCTGACCGTGGTAGGAAAAGAAGGGACTCAAACTGTTCTGCGGGTGATCTACTGAGGATTGCAAACATTCCTATTTGGGCCAATTAAAAAATGTCTATTGTTCCCCCCCAAAAACTCTAAATTTTTTCCAAAGCGTTGAAGGGTGTACCAAACTTTTATTTAGAATTGTACTAAATGTTCTATTTTACCTATTCGCTTGTTTGTTGTTTGATTCGATCCATTTTTAGGCAATGATGATATCAGAGGAGAAAAAAAAAAAAAAGTAACCGAGGTGGAATTATATACTATCAAACGAGGCACCCCCTTTTTAAATTTTTTGTAACTATATTTTTTATTTTTATCAGCAATATTATTATTATTTTTTTTTATTCTTTCTCTCCATCCCTTAACACACCGTCATGACAGAGATTCGACAATATACAACTAGAGATCAAGAAAAGTTAAAAAAGTATTATCTCGCCACTGAACTTCAAAAGAAACAAACCCGAGTCCTGCATGCCTTACAAAAAAGTCAGAGTGCGAAAAGAGCTTGGCAAGCAGGCTTAGTGGGTATTTTTGGTCTTCATTACACTTCACTTAAAGCTGCCTCTAGCTTCTCTACAACATTACCCACTATATTATTTCAAGTGGTCTTATGGAGTGCGGGTGTAGGTCTATTCTGGTATCAATGGTTATGCAAAAAATACGGGGACAAGGTACGACTGGCTACAGATACAATAGCCCAAGCATTGGCCGAGATACAGAACAATCCAAAGAGTAATGCGTGGGTTATGGTGAACGACAAGGACGAGATTATTGGTACAGTTGCTTTAAAATGTGTCAATGGCGAAGGTCAGATTGGGCTCTTGACAGGAGAGGAAGCTCGACAGCGTCAAATGTTGGTTCAAAATGCGATTAGGTTTGGTCGAACAAACAAGATTCAAGTTATTAGCAAATGGGATCAAGATTCAAAATGGTCCGAAAGTCCATTATAAACAAACTTTGAACTCGTTCTTAAAACAAAGAAATAACATATAAATAAATATCAAGTATACCTTTTTTTTTTTTTCTTTTTTTTTTTTTTTTTCTTTTGTTAACAACTAACTACTTTAACAAAAATGAGTAGTAATTTTACTATTCGCACGTTGACAAGGTCAATTGACCATTTCCCTATGCATCATTTGTTCTCACCTACTGCTTTAGACCATGATCTCACCTATGTAGATAAAACCTATTACAATGCGTCTCATAATTTAGCCATGATTACAAAACCCACCAATGAAAAGCAATCGGCCTCTAGTGTGCATGCATTGGTACTAAACAGGACCATTAGTCTCGTCACTTCCATATCACGCCTTGATCTGTAAATATCACTGCTTTTTTACATTCCAAAATTAAAAAATCCTAACCCTAACCCTTCCAATAGTCGCAATATCGGTTTATTTGTGCTGCCTACACAAGTATCGCTATTGACCAGACTAACGCAATTGGATCTATCGCATAACAAGTTGACAAAACTACCATCATCCATGGACCAGCTTAAACATTTAAAGCATCTGGATATATCGCATAATCGACTCTCTCAATTACCTTCTGGTATCTACTCATTGTGCAAGCTAACCCATTTTGACATGTCGCATAATCCAGTGCGTCGAGTATCTGCCAACTTGGCGCGTCTGATGGAGCTCAGTTTATTGGATCTGTCGAGCACCGAGATAATTTCGATTCCAGCCGAACTCCTCACGACCTTATCGATGACGACGATTAAATTAGAGAACTGCCAGCAGCTTGTGGTGGACGAATTAGAGCAAGAGTTGGTGCATAATCCACCTAGTCTTGTGGAGACATGCGCCCGACAGATGATTCAGCCTATTTTATCCGATTTGATACAGAACAAGAAGGCCAAAAAGAAGCAGCAACGGGAAAGAGAAGCGTCCTATCAAAGGTTACCCAACCATCTGCTGCATTATTTATCAAGACCAAAGGCGTGTTCCACTTGTGGCGGTCCTTACTTTCAATCGTCTGTAACCCGATATCGTATTGTACAAAGACAGGATGAATCCTGGGTGCCCGTCGAATATAAACTCTGTTCAGCTCATTGGAATAATGAAAAAGATAGAATCTTGGCTTTATTTTCAGATATTCCTCAAAGGGCTTTACCCAGAACTACTGAACCTTGTCGTTTAAGACTTGTCCCATCATCACACCTTCAAGATGCATGAAACCCAGCTTTTTTTTTTTGATTTTTTTTTTTTTTTTTTTTTTTTACAATATCCGCACCTTTTTTAGTAGTAATAAATGTTATGTAAATTTACGCAAAAGAAAGATTAGAAACACAAACAAATAAATTATGAATAGACTTTTTTATTTTTATTTTCTGTACAAGATAGAATTAAAATCTTCGTCATCACACACACTCTCTCCTGTTGCAGGTTTTATAATGAAAAGAAAGGAGGCTTAAAAATAGAAAAGGGGTATGGTCAAGCTTTGTGTGACACACACACATAAAAAAAAAAGATAAACATATTTGAAATAAAAATTTCTTTTTTTCTTTTCTTTTCTCTCTCTTCTTTTTCCCCATTCAAGATACAAGAAAAAAAATGTACGTTGATTCTTCACAGAAACAAGCTCGACCTTTTGTCTATGTTCAATACCCCGATGCACCGCACGCATCGTCCTCCACCCCAGTCAATTCACGTCAACGTATTCCTACCAGTGACTCATCCTCTTCCTCTTCAGCCTCCTCCGTCGTTTCCCAAAAGGAAGAACAACAACCTAAAAAAAAGAAGCGTCAACATATCGGTTATGCGTGTGATAAGTGTCGAGAAAGAAGAGTAGGCTGCGATCGTGGCAAACCCATTTGTGGACAGTGTAAAGATCGATACCAATGCCAATATAGTAATCATGCACTGCGTCTAGATAACGTGTCCATGCGTCAAAGATTAGATGAGCTGGAAAATCAAGTGGGTTGGTTAACTTCCTTCGCTACCAATCTAGAAAAAGATTACCGTACTTCTGTACCCCGAATCAACCATACACACGTGCAATTGGCCGGTTCAAGTACGGTCACACAGCATCCTCTGCCGTTGCCACAGCAACCCCAACAACAACAACAGCAGCAGCAACAACAACAGCAACAACAACAACAACAACAACAAGAGCAGCAGGAACAGAATGTCATTTTACAACAACAACATATATTACCCCCAAGTGTCGTGGACTGGGCTATCAGTACAGGCTGGCCTGTCATTGAAAGTGCTCAAGGTCTCAAGACCATTTTCACCACCATTAAGAATTTCGAAGATCTGAGTGCAGCATTAAAGAGTACGGTGCAATTAATCTATAGTGAAAAAGGGAATCCGTTATACCGTTCACCTCACCCTGTCAGTCTTTCTGACAAGGAAGCGGAAGTACAAGCTGTGGTGAGCAACCATGCGATTACCAATAACAATGAAGAAGAGCATTCGTTTACACTTTTCGAGAGTTTGAACCGATACACGAGTACGAAAAATCATCATTCAGCGCCCAGTAGTCATGAAGAGCGGTATTTGGAAACGGATGTGATGACACGATTAATCCATCAACATCATAAGTGTGGGTTTCCTACCCTGGTAAGCCCAACACGATTTGAAAATCATTATCGACAAGGGCAGCTAAAACCATTGGTATTATCATCCGTGTTCAGTCATAGTGTACCGCATGTCTGTATCTATCACCCCCATTTGACACAGATTCAGGATTTCCGAGAATTAGGAAACAAGTTTTATAATCATTCGCATGATTTATTAGGGATTGATGAACCGGCCAATCTATCGAATATTCATCAGCGTACTTTACTAATCACCTATGATTTGGATTTGGGAAGAGTACGAAGGGCGTTTTTACATATTGGTATTGCTATACGCATGTGTTTCATGTTGAACCTGCATCGCATGGAAGGCTATTTGCATTGTAAATCCGCCTTTGAAAGAGAACAAGCCAAACGAATCTTTTGGACCGTCTGGTTTTACGATAATATGGTAGAGAGAGGGATTCTATACTGAATAACTACCAAACAACGAAAGACTGAGCCCATTTCTTTTATTTATTTATAATAGGTGACGCATTTGTTTCATGATCAACTGTCGACCATCAAATTGAATGAGATATCCGTAGAATTACCTACCGTTTTACCCGATTTCACACAAACAGAAAAGGACCAAGCGATCTTTGCGATCAATGTGATTCAAATACGAAAGTTAGCGGCATCGATTACCGAAGCTTCTGGTAAGAAAATGGAGGCGGGAGCGATTGTGAATAAATTCCGTAAACGACTTTTACGATTCTATCAAGCGTTACCGGACGTTTTACGGTTTGGACAGTGTGGAATCAATCGTGATAAAAGACCAGATATTTCTGTATGGAGTCGACGTAATTATTTTTGCATCCTGTTGGATTATTGTTTGTGTTGGATTAGCTTGTATCGACCTTTATTACCTTCCGCCTCTATTCAGCGAGCACTCACGCCAAAGGAAACGGAAGCGATTTTGTATACATCGCAGGCGTCTGTGGCTATCATTCAATTATTTCAAAACTGGTTTCAGTCGTCTATTCAATCGGATGAAGGGTTCGATTGCTTTTTTAGACCTTATTTGTATCATTTTATGAGTGCGAAACATGTATTTAGTGTAAGTTAATTAAAATTAAGTAAAGTGACATGGCCCCCGCTAATGTTATTGAAAAAGGCAAATGTTTCCCAGTATGGCAGATCACCTGCTTTGGTGTATGTGAGTAGAGCTTATTTGGTGATATTATTACACCTTTACCAACAAACACCTACACGAAGATCATTTGATGAGAGCCAATTAGAAAAGGATTTGGTGGGATTCTTGAGCTTACATCAGATTGGAATGAATGAGATTGCGTATCAATCGATGCTGGATGAAGCTTTATCCGATGATGCCAATGCGGATGGAGGTTGGAGCCTATTTTCTAACTGTCGACTGGAGGATGAGGATGAAGAAGGATCCAAATGCTCTTCCAATTCTTCTGTGATGAGTGATCAGAACTGCGCCCAAGCCGAACTGGAAATGGATTACTTTTAGAGTATCTATTTTGTGAAACTATTTTTATTACGGTGAGACCACTGTAATAACATAACATGACTTTTTTTTTTTTTTACCCATTATTCCCACTTTTTAAACATATCTATTCCCATTATACTCCTTTATACACTCATTTTGTTACATCTCATTTGTATTTCTACCCTTACTTTTCTTTTTGTATCATTTAGAACAACAGCTTAATAAAGAAAAAGGGTTTCTGTTAGCGGAAATTCAAAAATCAAAGCAAGTTCAGGGGAGATGCTTTTTTTTTTTGAACATGTCAAAAAACTTTTTATAATCAAAAACCCTAGATACTTCTGGACCCATAGGTTTAATAAAAACATCTGGTATATATAAATGAGGGTTCATTTCTTCTAGTATCAAGTTTTGTTCTACACGTTTCTCTATTTTTTTTTTTTTTTCTGTAAGGAAAAACCCCCAACTTACACGAATGCATTTTCAGTATATTTCTCTTGCCATTGCAACCACTTTGGTAGCACTCTCACAAGCCAATAAAGAAATCACGGTCAAGAACAACTGTCCAACTACAATTACTGTGGGTGTATTGACAAATGGTGTAAGTGCAGGTGCTCCCGAGATGAGCTTTGATTTGACACAAGGTGCAACCAATTCATTTAGTAAAGCGGACTCATGGGGAGGTCGCGTCTGGGGCCGTTACATGTGTTCTGGTTCTGCTGGTAAAGATCTTTCCAAGTGTGGTGTTCCCGGTGCCTCAAACCCTGCTAGTTTGGCTGAGTTCTTTTTCAAGGGCACGGGAGGTAAGGATTTCTATGATATTAGTCTGGTGGACGGATTTAATATACCAATGAATATCGAGCCCACCGGTGGTGCCAATCCCAGTGGTTACAGCTGTGGATCTCCCCAATGTCACATTACTTCTTGTCCCAAGGAATTTTCCGTATTGGATTCTACTGGAAATGTAATTTCTTGTCAAAGTGACTGTTCTAAAAGCGGTAGTCCTGAGGATTGTTGTACAGGTGAGCATAATGATCCTAATGTTTGTAAAGCAGGCCAAAACGCAGCTGCTATTAAAGAAGCCTGTCCCGATGCTTATAGTTTTGCATATGACGATCAAAAGTCTACTTATGAATGCGCTGCAGAAAGTTTCACTGTAAACTTTTGTTAATCATTTGCTCGCTCTTATTTTGTTTACACTTTATTTCTAATATATATATATAATAAACCCTGGAAAAAAAAAAGAAACCATTTCCTCCCACATGTTTCGGATATTTCTTTTTTTTATCATTAGCGGATTGAACTTATCCTTGAATGAATAATGGCTAATTCCAAATCTAAACTATCAGAGACAGTAGGTTTTTCACCTGTACCTATTCTCTCTTCAAAATTTGTGCGCCATTTTTTGCCATAGACCATGACTAGTAATACAGTGATAATATTGATCACGTTCAATACGGCCAGAATACTGAATAAAATTCCAGGGCCCACAGCATTTAACGATGTACTAGAGAAGATCGCGGTGATCGCTGCAATAACCGACCGTACGCAGTTATTTATAGCCACTGCACTTGCAGATCGACCTGGTTTAGAATCTACAAGGTATAACGACGAAGGTGCAAATGCGAACATTTGTCCGAACGAGTCTTTTTTTTTTTTTTTTTTTTTTTTTTTTTTTTTTTTTTTTTTTTTTTTTTTTTTTTTTTTTTTTTTTTGGTTTGTGTGAGTGAATGAGAGGAAAAGAGAGAGAGAGAGAGAGAGAAATTTCTTTGTTTAAATTACTTACAGATAAAAAGACCAGCTAGAGGGGCATATACTGCAACACCCATTTGCGTTGACCATCCGTAGAGAAGATAGCCAGCAGGCATAAGGATGAATGAAGGAAAAGTAGCTTTCAGGATCATCTCGGGGTATACATTTTCTTTGCCCTTTTTCTTTCGTAGTCTGGCCAGCACAAAATCTGCATACCGGCCGCTGGTAACCGAGCCTACCACCAGACCTGCACCATAAAAAATATAACAGAGTCCAATTTGAAATGATGTATAATTATACAATGCTTGAAATGTCTCTGTAATTGTGGGAGTCTTTTTGTTTTGAGTCTCTTTTATGAGATTTGATTTTTTTAACTAAACTTACCAAAAAATAAAAACAAGAGAGAATGACTGTATTATATAAAGTGATTAAAAGAACCGTCGGGTCTCCCAACATGCCAATCATGGGACAAAAAGCTGCCTTCAAGTTTTTTAAAGCTTTAAATCGGTCCTTTGCATGTTTCTCATCCATTACGATACGCTTTTTACGTAGGGTTTCGGGTAACAAAAAAATCACCAGCATGAGTAGCACCGTGCCTAAGATTGTATGTTTAAATTATAAGAGCGTAAATTGTTTTTTTAAAGAAAGTACAAACCTAGAATGGCTAGAAAATAAAACGAGGATTGCCAGCCTAGGTATTGACAAAGAACACCTCCAATAGTTGGGCCGATAACATGGCCCAAGAGTGGGCCTACATAAAAGATACCGTACGCTCTGCCACGGTTTGGAGGATCTATGGTATCAGCAATGACGCCTGCTCCCAAGGTCTGTCCTGAACTTGTTCCACAAGCTTGAATAGCACGAAATATGATGAGCATGGTGATATTTGAAGAGACGGCACACAAGATGGAAGCGACAATGCTAAAAATTAGACTAATCACGTACATTGGCTTTCTACCATAGGTATCACTCATGCATGCCCAAAATAGCGGCTATATAAATGGAAATATTAGCTTAACCGAAAAAAAGAGGGTATATTTAAATGAGAGAGATGCTTACAGCTACACCTAGAAAGACAACATAGACAGAGATAGTTCCTGTCATGCCAGTCAAAGTAGTATTCAAATCCTGGGATATGCGCACAACATCAGGCATGTAAATCATATTGCCAATGTTGCTGCTGATACCACAAAGTGCAATGATAAAGATGATGATGTTTTTTTTGGTTGTCGAGTAGAGTTGCGGGTCGTCTTCTGCATAAATGTCACCCATGATGGCAGTCCAACAAGTTGTTTTTGAATCACCCCTTCCGGTATAGATGGAGGTGCCACTATCACTAGTATTTTCGTTCTCATAGTGAGAAACAGTTGTAATCTTGACAGATTGTGAAACATGGTCGGTTTTGATGTCAATGATTTTTTTATTTTCTGACATTTATAAGAAATATTTTCATTATCTTTCTGAAGGGAGAAATAAAAAGGAAAAAGAAAGAAGGGAGATAAGACAGAGAGATCACTCTTTTTAATAAATAAAGAGAATGCTTTAGAAATTATTACATGTAAGCACTTTTTATTAGTCCAGAACGGAAGCAAGAAAGATCATCCGGTTGTTTAAAAATAAATCTCAGAATTTGCTGCTCTCTTTCTAATGCTCCTTGCTCCTTGCTCCTTGCTGCTGCTGCTGCTGCTCCAACAAATTTCATTTGACTGCAGATATGCAATGTATTCTTCTTATCAAAGTTTTTAACCTTTTCAAAAAGAAACATGTTCAAGAAATATACAAAAAACAGTTTTAATTAATCTAATAAACTAGTAGGTACATGATTATGTTTTTTTTTTAAAAAAAAATCGGAAGTTTTTATAAACCTAGTGAAAATAAATAATCAGACAAAAGATCATCATGATCATACTAGTAAAAGTTGGTATGGCCATCCTTGACATGGAAGTTATTGCACTTTCGGGTAATAAATTGCTATTCATGATATCTTTAAGTGTTATTTTTTTAGTATGTCATTTTCATAAGAGAAGAATTAGAAAGGGGGGAATAAAGTGCTTACATATATATATATATATATGTAGTTTCTCTCTCTCTCTCTCTCTCTCTTTCTCTTTTTCTTTCTTTATTTCTTCTTTACTCTCACTCTTTTACTCTATTTTAACTCTTACCTGAAATACTACACGGTGTTTCTGATTTGGAACAGGATGGAGGTTGTGTTGCTTCGGAGGAATTAAAAAACATATTAAGATGCGAGACCCTCAGTTCTGCGTTTTCTGTGGGAGGACCCCCACTAAAGAATGGATTGCCATCTGTCCAGTGATTAAGCAGAATTCGGCCCGGTGAATCTGGCACATTTGTTGTCATTTCACGCACAAAGCTGCCGTCAATGTAGAATTTGACAGAATTTGGTAACCAGTCAAATCGATACTCGTGAAAGTCCTTCTTACCATGATTAGTTTGTTATTTTCATTTTATATTCTTAAATAAAGGCTAACCTCTGTGGGATTAAAGTCGAGACCGTGCTTTTCGTTTGTCAAGGGTGAGGCAGAACCATCCTTTTCATAGATCTGAGGTTGAATAGCGAAATATGTTTTAAAAGGGTCCTTGACTCGACTCAGGGATTCCATATCGATTTCACTCGTGTCATTCCGATAAAAGAAAAAAGCGGCTACTGTGCCGTCTACATTGCTTGTTTTCATTCTGGCGCGATAGGTGCCATATAAAAAATCGGACCTACAGTAGCGAATGAAAAAAAAATTAATGTATGTATGTACATCTGTACATGCATCTGTTATTACCTTTTTGTGCCTACGGCTGCGGATGTGTATCTTCCTTGGGCGTCCTTTTGGACGGATAAGGTAATGCCGTCTGTCTGAGATAATTTGACATTAGAGGGAACAAAGACACGATCAATTGTATTATTGTGTTTTGCATTGACGGTATAATCCATGACGACATAATTTCGATCGTACTGCAAGTTTGATTTGTATGTGCCATAATCTGCGTACCACACGTCCGACCAAACATTGTTATCTTCATCAATAAATCCACAATCGCATACTACAGGTTCATCTAAACTCAGCTGATTTCTTGTTTCTCCTTGTGCGCTGATCTGAGCTGTCATGCTCATCAAACTAAATAATACCACACAAGCATCTCGCAATAACATGATTCGTAAGAAATAAAAAAAAGGGATAAAATAATAAAAAGATTGAAATGGGAGTTATTCCTAAAAGAAGATTCTGTTATAACCAAATATTTTACAATACACTGAGAATCTACACAAACAAATATCGGATTATATTTGGGTCGTTCATCGATGTCTCTCTTTTTTGCATAAAAATTGAGCTTATTGCACCCAAAAAGAATATTTCCCCGTGCGCTTCAAAAGCCTCGTAAGAACGCGTCAGCAATTCAAACTCCGTCACAGCATTTTTTTTTTTTTTTTTTCTCAGTAAGGGTGTGAGTCAAATAGAGGCCTTACCTTTTTTTTTTTTTCACTCCCAACAACAAAACAAAAAAAGAAACTCCAAAATGTGTATGCGCGTAACTTGTCCCGATTGCAAAAAATTCACCTGGAAAGGTAAAAAAAAGATTTAGTGTGCAATCTCTAATGTCATTACTAAGGAAAAAATTAGGTTGTGGAAAGCATATTGATCAAGCTTTGGCCGGTTTAGAAAAGAGCGAGATCTGTCAGTGCAAGGAAGAAGCCAAGACCGCTGAAAAATAAATAAAGGCTATATTCTCTCTCTTCTTTCTCTCCAATTTTTTTACACACACATTTTATTTTTTGAACTGTTTTTTTAATTGTTTTATACAAGTACTCCAAAGGGTAGAAAACCCCATGATCTAATAATTTATTTAAGCGTTGATACCGAGAAGCATGTTGCTTCCTCCATTTTGGCTGGGCAAGTAAGTGACGTTGCGAGATTGAGAAAGAGTTTGTGCAATATCTTTACTGGCTTCGATTCTACGGAAAGCAATGAAACTATAATAAACAGAGTTAGTCACCCTATATCCTTCCAGCCCCTTCTCTCTCTCTTTTTTTTTTATTCTCATGAATTACCCTTCACCGGCCTTGGCCAATGCTGTGGAAATCATCTCGGCAGCTTCGGAATCACCCTCAGCACGAATAATAGCAGCTTGCTTTTCTTGTTCGGCACGTTCGACAACAAATTTGGCACGTTCGGCTTCTTGTTGTGCGATTTGCTTTTGTTCAACAGCGTTGGTAAATTCCTTACCAAAGGTCATGTGTGTCTATACAATATAGGTGATGAGTTAACCCCATCTATCAGTTTTTAAAAAAAGGGAAATACTTTACGATAGAAACATCTTCTAAGGCCAAGTTGAAATCTCTGGCACGCTTGTATAACTCTTCACGAATCTTTGCGGAAACGACTTCACGTTGAGTAATCAATTCAGAGGCATCAAATTGAGCAACGATAGCCTTCAAGACTTCGTTACCGATGGAAGGTAAAACTCTCTCGTCATAATCAAGACCCAAGTTTTGATAAATAGAAGGCAAGTTTTTGATTTCGGGACGATGTAAAACACGGAGTGTCAAGGACACCATTTGCATATCCTTGGAACCTGTTGTGGTCGAAATATTACGGGGTTTGGTACGCACATCGAAAACAACAGCTCTTTGAAGCCAAGGTACTAAAAAGTGAGTACCCTCGCCGACAGAAACAGGCTTTACACCTTGAATACGATCGAAAATAACGGCTCTATGACCACCCTGGACTAATAATATACAAAAGCATTTAGTACTCTTTTTTTGACACTCATACGCGCTTTCCCATAACAACAGTTTCGTTACCATCGTACATGGCTGATTGAGCTCCACCAACAGCGAGACTCAAGGGAATAGCCCATTTAGCGAGTGTTCCAAGTGCTTGTGCCATTTTTGATTAATATTAATTGAAAAGAGTTTATAGGAAATATAAAAAAAATAATTATCGAGGGGGAGAATATAATGAGCATGGGCATCCAGCCATAGCTCTGCTTTTTTATTTTTTTAAGCCAATCAGGTAAGACAGTGTGACGGGCTTTTTAATGGTTTCTAAACAGGTTGGGCGGAAACTCCGAATGTACTCATCTTCATCAGATTAACCCCCCAAGGATGAGTGAAGTGTATTCAGAGCTTGAAGCTGCCAATAGTTTACACCCGAAAATTAAGACAACCATCCAAATAAATGAAAAAAAGAATTGCCATTTCGATATTGTCTATGTATTACCAGCGAGTGTCTTTGTAGACCCTTACCAACTACAAGACTTGGCACCACTTATTGGAAAGGCCACAGTGTTCGGTGAACACGATTTAGAATTACCTCTTGAGAAAGTCAAAGAATGGCGTGGCAGTATTGTCTTTTTACGTCAAGAAACAACGTTACCCGTAATGCAAGTGACATTACCTCTTCATCTTCGATACCAACAACCCTCAGAGCATCTGGATAAGCAACCCATTACTATACAAGCTCCATGGGCAGGCTGGACCTGTGGCGGTGGTAGTGATAGTTTGTGGCCTCCTATCGAGCACGAATTAATCAGTTCACCACAGTTGGACTCTTCTGCTATTTTTACAAGACTCTCAAATGATCCAACACCCTTAATATTATCCGTTCCTATTGGTAAAGTACAGGATGCTACGGTGGTTACTTATGGTACCTTTGTTTCCGTGGTTCTTTGTACGCTTTGGATTGTGTATGCTGTATATTTATCGGTACGAAAAAGAAGAAGGTTAGAGGCAAAAGGAAAGAGAAGGAAATCCGAATAAAGCTGTATTAAAATAATAAAAAGTATACACACATATGCAAAAAGTAATAATAGTAATGGGCTAAATGTATAAATGCGTAAATCATGTAGGTGGGCTCTTTTGCTAAAGCTACAGAACCCCTTTATGCTTGAAATGGCGTGACAATCTCCATGAATGACACGTATAAAATGTGTTGGCACGTCATCTATGGAAGCATAATTATGCAAATGTATATTTAACAGCGGGGTTTTTTATTTATTTTTATTTCGAATTCATCATGATGCATATATATGGTGTGTGTGGAGGTGTGAAGTGTAAATGAGTTGTAAAAAAAAAGAACAAAAAAAAAAAAAAGAGAGAGAGAAAAGATAATTATGACATATATATTTTTTTTTTTTTGGTTGGTTAGGAAAAGGAAGGGATTGGGAAGAGAAAGAAGATTATCTCTTGCGTGTCACATTGTGATGCACTCTACGAATTAAAGTCATCCAAGCATTTTGTTCAGCTTCAGTTTGGGTTCTCATGATCAAAGTTCGCTTGACAATACTTAAGGGACCGTGTGTGGGCATAGGATACACGTAGTTATCTCCAAGTCCCATTACTTCATCCGAAGATCCTTGTACTTTCAATTCAAATCCATACACTAATCGAGGTCCAGCAGTAGTTTGTGGCTCAGACTTGCGCATAAATGAGCTTAATGCGCTGTGTTTTTTCACTTCGGAGATTTTGGCAATCGTTTTAGCTGACAGCGGAAGAACCTCGGCCACCTTCAAACTGATGATTCCCTTGAATTGTAATTTAACAGGCCCACCGGATCCTGATTTTGATGCCTTCTTACTGTAACTCTTGATCTTTTGGCAGTAAATGAGCATATCATTGTACAATACATATGTACGTGTATCTGCTGTTGAATGAGGCTCCGTAAGATCCACTTGTGTAATCACACTGGAAATGTATAATCGTCTTGCAATGTTTACAACAGCAATGTTGCCCTGAATAGATCTTGATGCTTCTAGAACACGAACATGACCTAAACGGTCCTTCACACTATTATTGTGTTAGTTAAAAAGTTATAAATAGCAACGGTATTATCTTTCACACACATACATTGTTTTCCATTGTTTCTCACGTTGAACAAATTTATCCTTGATACGATTCAAAGCCTGATAATCGGGATGAGATGGCTCGGTTGCTGAAGCCAGTTCAGTAACATAAATTGAGTAAGAGGAAAGTCGACTAATGGAGCTCTTCAAGTAATATACAAGGTCTTTTACAGTGGGATTATTTGCTTGTGAAACGTAATTCTACAAGATAAATGAGGGGATGAGAAAATGCACTTTAGTATCAATTTGATTTTTTTATGCTCACTTCAATGTATTTTGGGAAAGTCGCGGATTTAGTATATAAACTGTCGATTGTTACAATTGTATTTGGGTAACCATTTAAAAACGTTTCATACACGTTCAGTTTGTCATACTAAGAAAAAAAAATAACGGAATAAGACAATTTGGTTTATTGGTTATTTGGATGATGGGACTTACGAAATGGGCAAAAATATCGGATATGAATTGAGTTGGACCCCACATATCAAGTCTTTTAAATTGAAAAGATTAGTCATCGTGATTGGTTGAAAAAAAAAAAAAGAGAGAGAGCGAGCATACCTTTCTTTTAAAACTCTACAGAAATTTTGATGAGCCAAAGTCATTTCGGCTGTATCGGCAAAAAGGTTGTTCATGGCGGGTTTTGAGCAAAGGCCAGGATATTTAGCGAAAATGCCAGCATTGGCGGGATCATTGATCCACTCATTGATGGGTGTGAGATAATAACGTTCGAAATTCAACATATCATTTATATGCTGTTGCTCGGACTGACACATCTGATCAGCAACGCTTTTCTTTTGTGCTACGTTTCTAGCTGCATCCGCTACTTGTCTTTCTAAAATCAGTTTAGTATATCTCAGGTGTGCACACGCCTTCCATTTATTTAGTTACCATAGGGCTCTGATTCGACCTCATCGTCAAAGGTCTGATAAATTTCATCAATGATGGCTAAATCGTCCATTAACTGATGGTAGTTTTCTGAACGATGTGTAAGAAAGGAAAGTTGATCGGTAGAGGTCATACAGCCGCTATCCATCGAAATACAGCTATCTGCTCCACTACTTGATGTTAAATTACTACTGGCTGCAGACATGACGGAGGGTTGCCGCCATAAATGACTCCCATAACTGCTTTCGTCGGTCGTAATCGAACTCATATATTCTTTTGTATATTATTTTTTATTCAATTGTATTTATTTGTAAATGTGTGTATATGTGTGTGTGTAAAACGAAAGGCAATAGTTTGAAAGAGAGAGAGAGAGGGAGAAAAGAGAAGAAATTAGAGAAATATAGTAACGAAAGGTTAAAATATATAAACCGAAATTTTAAGAGAGCACAAGCTAATATAGTAAAATTCTCAGATTTATTACAAAAAAAAAAAAAAAAAAAAAAAAAAAAAAAAAAAAAAAAAAAAAAAGATTTCCCCCTGTCATAAACATCTGTGGATCAAAAAATTACTGTTTGATTACTTATCTTTTTAAAGGGGGGGACTCATGGTGTGTGTGCGAATATTGTCCCCGAGCGCATAAGCTACGTTACACGTTATTCTTCATTTGTTACAAATGATCTGGTGACTATTGCTATATATGTAACGTGTCCTACTCTATTTTATGTTCCTTGAAATTGTAATAATAATAAATAAACAACTTATATATATATACGTGTGTGCGTGCGTGCGTGAGGGTTTTATGCCTGATACAAAATGATTGATAACGATGCACAAATATGTCTTTTTCTGTTACCGCCAAGGTATTTTAAAAGAGATTATGGATACGTTACCCATTGAATACCTTTTTGGTAGCCAGAAAAACTTTAAATTTTGCAGGTACACTTCGAACCACTGCTTCTTATCACCCTTTTTCTCGGTCCATTTCTACGCGTGTATCACCCACATTATTCTTTGTGGCAAGTAAAACGCAGACCGGCACTGAGTATTTTATCAGGGAAGTTAATATTGGGATTGCATCATGTGCACAATATTTCGTCGGGCATTTGATAACTACACACATATCTTTACAATTGTTATCACTTCCTTCTATTTTGTTTTGATCTACGGCATTTGACTGTCTATACCCCCGCTCCTCAATTGACTCACTGAATCTTCTTATTGAATCACTTTTGCTTTTCTCGGGTTTGTTTGTCGTACCAACCATTTAAATACAACAGCATTTTTTAAAAGTCTAAAATTAGACGCTTTCTGAAATCTTATTGGATCAGTTTTTTTTTTATTATTTGAAAAATTAAATTAGACACCTTCGACTGTCTCTCTTGATTTGGAGTCATTTGAGATAGAATTTCTTGTTTATACACCTATCCAATATGCCTCCAACTTGACCTACATACAAGTTCCAACCATTAAATAACTGGCGGAGTATGTCATCAAAAATATTTCATTTGATGTCTTGCTATATTTTCGCCACCAAACTTCGGCATAAAGAAAGTAGTGGATTCAAATATGCTAAATACTATATCAAAACTACTAAATCCCTCAACATTTATTTGTGCAACACAATGGCACCTATAAACTCATTTAAAGAAAAAAGAGCATGAACGAACAAGAAATCAAACAGACAATAAATCTGATGAAGAACCACAAACGTAACTTAGACCACAGTTAAATGGTAATTGTAAAAGCTCACTTAAACCGTTTTTTATGCACAATAAATATGAACCAGTTTTGCATCATAATTAATTAAACAGTATGAGCCGTTTTTTTTGAACAAGGAATTACCATGCATTGGGTTAAAAAAATAGGTCTTTTGAAATAAATACTAAACCTATTCCCAATTCTTCATCGATGATTCGGGATTATTTGCCACTATTGGATAAATTATGTACGCCATTAGCCTAGGGAAAATCTGTAATTAGGCTTTTTTTTTGTGAATCGGATGGTGTGACATTCAGAAATGTATCTTTTTTTTCTGGGAAGAATGCTTCTTATTTCCGTATTGTACATCCGTAACTCAACAGTTTCTAGACTTGATTACCAAAGAAAATCAACAGCATTAAAATTCTATAGTAATGGCTTTGGTTTTGGAGCAGATATCATACGTTATATGATTTTCTATGAGAACAATATGGTGACTCACTGGTCATGTATCTGATGAGAAATTAAATTGTATTAATTTTTGACATGCCACTGACTATTTTCAGATGTCTGTCATCAGAAAGATCTCACAAAGCGGCAAATCTTCTCTGATCAACATTTAGTATTTCTTTAATCAACCAAATTAAATGCATATTAAAATTCACTAATCATACACACAACTTTCAATTGCAAAACTTGAAATCGAACAAATGTGGATCCTCTCCACCCTTTGTAACCGATAGCTATTCGTCTCTATTGGCTATTAAAACCACCTTTTTGTAGTAATATAACTATTCCGTATATTGCATTTTTGACCAAATTTTTTTGTTAAAGTATTCTACAGGTAAGAGTATGTAGCAACAGTGCAGATACATTTGTCCTTTCTGCAAATCATAACCACTTTTAAGTAATTCAGATCAAGATGATCAGCAGCACATTTAAGCCCCACTCCCAATAGAAGAGCAAGTCGGGTACTAACCCATATTTAGTTCTGTTTGGTCACATGGGCCCAATGTCTTAGTATAATGCTAAAGTGTAAAGTTCTGGAAGATTCAGATGGCAAAAAATTCATATTGAAAAAAAAAAATGACCCGCCATGTTAGTAAATAAGCTGATTACTCGTATGCACGTTTTAAGATTGCGTCAAGTTAGTTTCGAATAAAACAAAAAAATAAAATAAAAAAGATAATGCATGTGCAGTTTAACACAATCTGTCAAATGCTTTTTTTAAAAATATGGATTCTCCCACCAATCCACATGAAGTGCCTTGTAATTTAAACAACTTCATCATTGGTCAACTAAAAACTTTAATTTTTTTTTTCTGATCAGGGACGCGATCTCATCTACACCGTTTCCTTTTTTAATACAACAGATTTGGATATCTATTGAAATCAGTTACAGACTCAATTTATTAACAAACTAAACTGCCTATCTATCTATACTGGTTTTATCAACATGTCTTCGTCCCCCCTACCCCTTTTTTTTTCTTATTTGTACCTAACTTATGCCGTGAGCGTGTGATCCCTTAACCTGACACAATGAGTTTATTTTGTTTACTTTAATTGCTATAGTAAAGTATAACCTTAATTACTTAAAACGGATAATTGATTTTTTAAATGTTGGCCTTATTAACGCCATTATAACTACATATTGTGATTGTGTTTGAGGTTGAAACGAAAAACACTCTACAAATAACATTGAAATCAATCTTTTCGGTTCCCACATAAAATATTTTACCGTAAGCTTAACCAGACTGTCTCATATTATAAACAAAATGAAGACTGTCCTATGGGAAAATAAATGCTGCTGTAAACCCTCACATGTTTATAGACAAAAAAAAAATTGTAAAAGCATTGACATATGATTGGGCATAGATGGGTATCATGTGCCCGGTTGTTTAAAGTAGTACAATAGTTCTACAATAAATATTTGTGTATAACGCACTGATGCATTTTTTTCTTTTTTTTTTTACGATATTAAGAGTTTTTTCTTCGGTCAACATATTAGATCATTGTACTCAAATGAGACTATTTCACGTAAGTTAAATGATTATGTGAGATAATAAGAATTCTCAAACACAGATTTATACGAGAAAGTATAATAGTTTCCCTGATAAACGTCACGTTGAGTTGGTTGTTTTTGTTTTTAGCATAGTTAGATGGTTGACTAAAGATTATGCAAGCGAATACTATCTCCTCTTTTTTTTGAAGTAAACATATATAGCCTACGGATGATCCGTCTCTCTTCGGCTAAAGTTTACCGCTTTATAGATAGTACAAGAAATGCTACCCTGAACTGGCGTAACCATCTTTGCATTTTAGTCTTATCTTTTGCAAGTGTACTATTTAGCAAAATAGCTATGAGCACAGTCGTTCTAATGCCAAGGCGAGGTTTCTTTTTTCTTAATAAAAAAATGAGACTATAAAATTTTCCCCCACTAGGTGGTTATATTTTTGCAAAAGGCGGTTTTGATTCATCCAATGGGCGGTTATGATTTTTTTTTAAAGTGCGGTTTCCCAAAAAGGTCAACATTTGAAAAATGATGGATGTTTGGAAACCCCGCCCAGCTTTTTAAACACATATGCCCTGGGAGCATATTTTTAAGAAGATATATTGACTAAATATTAAAATGGTCGCAAAGGTTTTTTATTCAAGCATTTAGATAGTACATAGATCGAGTGCTGAATGGAAATTATGTATGCGTTCAACAAGAACATCCTCGCTATTTTTAATAAGCAGAATATTAGCAAGGGTCTGGTTGTTCACCAACAGACTTGCACAACTGTAACTAAAGGATACATATCTGTTGCGAATTAGAGCGTAAAAACAATATTTTTGTGATGTCGCTTCATCCGGAGCGGAAGAATGATCTCTAAAATACAAAACAATAAGAAATCGAATAAATGATCAAAACTACAAAAAATTGATATAGCAAATCCGAGAGAAATTGAACGATATATTCTCCTGAACGTCCTACAGTACTCTACCTTGCAGCTGCAGTCTAAGCTCATAGTGCATTATTCAACAAGACACTAATTGACAGATACAAGCAACTAACAAAGTTAATACACTTGCTCTTCAAGTTATCTATTAGAAAATAAAATCCAGATATATAGGCTTAGGGTAATCTGCAGATGATTCCGGTATAATAAAGTCCCAAACAAACACTTTGGATGATTAAATAAACAATTACATCAACCTGACATAAGCTCTTGTTTATCAGTTTACAAATAAAGTTCGTCCGCAATCTTTTTTCTTATATTCAAGCATATTATCCTTTTGAAGAAAAGTAATGAATGTTATAAATCGGTCAACAAGTATTACTCTTCGAAACGTTATTTCCGCCCTAGAATTATCGCCATTTGATGTTAATTATAATAATGATCCCCGGTAAAAAATCGCAGCAGATTTGATGTGGATGACAGAAATGTCAAAAAGCTTAAAATATCCACCCCATGTGACAAGCCTTTGTCACCAATAAATTGCGTCTATATTAACAACCCATCTGCAAACCTACCATGTGAACAAGTTCTCAAAAGTATCCCATACACCTTTGATGACTACACGATGTAAACAGATGAAAATATTGAGCTCTTAAACTCTCATCGGTGGAGGAGACCACACATGTATTTCATAGTAGGACGTTTGATGATTGTTTCGATTACGATAGATGGCAGCCATTGAAAAGAGGAATTACATCATTCAGCTGATTTTTTAAATCTTTGTTGGCCCAATAACTATCGCCGTCATTGTTGCCAGGAATTAAGATAACTCTTGATACCAAATTGACGCCATTGGTCTTTTGAATGGTGTTGAACCATACTGCAGATTTTCGAGTATGGATGTTCATTTCGAGAATTTATCGCTTCAGTCATACTTGCCGGATTTAAAATCCCAATATCCTAACAAGCTAAAAATCACAAATATTCTTTACGCTAACTTGGAAGTATTGTTACTTGGCTCCAACACTTGCAACATTTTGTTTATTTCAAGTATTTGGGTAGATGATGCGATCATAGCTATTTACAATTTGATCAAAGCCATTTACAGCCGGGCTCGTTTAAAGCAGATTGAATATTGCTCCTGAGGTCAGTGCGTCCACCAAAATCTTTAATCCGTTCACCAATGCACGTATTTTTTTTATCGATTTAAATGCCATGAAGCTTACTGATACTAGAGTAGTGAGCATCTACTCACTATGGGGGGAGACCCTTTGACTCAAATCAGACAATCAAGATCCAAATTCCATTAAAAAAGTACATATTCATTGGCAAGAGTATTTGAAGAGTTTACCAAAACCATGCATTAAAACCATACTCAATCTACACCTTCAGCAGCTCGATTGGTAACGCTAAAACGGATGTGGCGCTAGGAAGTAAAATAATGGAATTCATTGGTCACACAATTCACGAAGATTCCCAGGCCAAGCTATTGAAAAAAGGATATTGCTTCCATCATGACGCCTAAAGTAGCCCAAAAGAAAATAAATAAAGGTGTAGACAAACGTGTAGAATATAACAAGTTCGTTTAAAAGAGACAGTGTACTAGTTGAAATCATTGGTAATACTTCTCATTGCACGTTTCTAATATCTATCGCAGACATCGTCACAGATGGCCTCAAGAATATCATTACGAATATTTGGAACGAATTTCAGGGAGGTATTTTTCGTTGTTCTCAAACAAAGTCCCCTGCCAGCTGATATGCTTGTTATTCCCCGCTCAGGCCTGTTAACACTTTGGAAATAATACTGGAAATGACTCATTGACTGCGACTTTTGGATTTCACATGTTGCCATAAATATGTTACAATAAGATTATTGTGGACTTGTTTATCAGTGATAATTTTGTCATGCCTTCGGGCTGCTTTTAATATCTGTATATATTCAATAATAATAAAAAAAATTGTTGTTCATAGTTTATATTTGATTTAATAATTAATATATCCAAAGGTTAGATTTAATCATATCACATTTATTCCCATGGAAGCGTATATATTTATATATTGAAAAAAGCCATTACAGGTGTCATTGCGTAAACGTAGAGGAGGGTACGGGAACATTCATACCAGTAACTTGCGCTGAGTGATAGTGGTTTTTTTGTCAAACGGAGGACAGATTTGTGATTTTCCTTTTGCGCAGTAGAAATGTTTTCTCACTCCATGCAAATCCTTTTCTATTCTATTTTTAGTGATTCTATTTGACCGAATATAGAGTGAGATCGGACATTACCGTTTTCTACATGACCCGCTCTCGAGCCAGAAAAAAAAGATAGTCCCCTATTTTTGCTATTTTCTCTAAAAGGCAGCACTAACCTTAATAATCCGTACCCTTCTAAAACAGAAAGTGGGGCGGGGATACAGTGCTTCCGCCCACTTTTTTGAGAATAATTCACAGGGAAATAGAGACCTACTTTTTGTATTTTAAATATTTATTTTAAAAATGGTAGAGGCAATATTGTAGAGGAATCTGGAAATGAACCAGACGCTTACTTGGTAGAGCATTCATTTCGCTTAACCAATTTGACGAATTTAAAAAATACATAAAAAACAAAAAGGTTTTGATCGAAGATGAAACAAATAACGTTGAAATGAAGGAAGCAACAGCAAAAAAGAAGGACTCCTTACGTATAACACCTAATCAGACGACGACTGTAAAAGATATTTTTTATTAAGGAGAAACTCATGGCTCCCTCTCAAACAGCTAAAGCTGCCAATGTTCAATATGAAACTGCTCAAAAGTGGAAAACAGCTTATGAAAAAAGTCCTGAGGAGGGTATTCCTCTTCAGAAAACAAATCGCATAAACAGACCTGTGAGTAAATTAAACGAAGAGCATAAGATCTTTATACAAAACTTTTTTGACGAAAATAAAACAGCTGTTATACAAGACGCTGTTGAGAGCTTGACAGAGAACTTTGAGGGCTTGGAAATTAAGAAGAGCAGAGTTGCGGAAGACTGCAACCTTACTATAAAAGTGGTCACTTGTCATCCCAAGCGAAGAAACTGCAGCGATACGTTAGACCAACGCGCCCAGTTCGTAAAAGAGTGGACAGAGAAGGGTATGCTTTTTATGCAAAATTGTGTGTTTATTGACGAGTCTGGCTTCGATATTAACATGCACCGCTCAAGGGGTTAGTCAAAGCGAGGAACTCAAGCAATTATTGAAACACCCTCTGCAAAAGCTTTCTCCCATACCATTATTGGTGCTATTGCAGTATAAGATGTTTTGAACGTAATTTTAAGAGATGCAGGAAATGAGAAGAAAAGAAAGGTCGACGGTGCCAAGAAACGTAAAGCGACTGATGCGACAGTTAAAGCAATTCCCGAGGGAACTATAACAGGACATTATGTTCAGTTTATTAGTGACACAATGAATATCATATGAGTATGACTACATGAAGGGATTTCATCTTGTTATGGATAACGCTCTTATTCATGCTAAGGCGATTGTCGATCCAATAATTATCAAGAGGGGTTATATATCTGTACATCTTCCTCCCTATTCTCCAGAGCTTAATCCTATGGAGCAGTTTTGGAAAGTTTTGAAGGATAGAGTCAGAAGAAACAAGTTAAATGATGTAGAAAATCCTACCTCACGAATTATTGAAGGGAGCGAGGACGTTCCTCTTGAACACTTGCAGAACTTCATTCAGCATTCTGTAAACTGCTTTCTTAAATGCTTAAATAAGGAACCCTTATAATACATGGGGCTATTACGTAAATAAATAAAAAACTGTTGAAAAAATTCGAGTTTTTATTTTCATGGATAATAAACATATGATTAAGTAAATCTTGTATAAACTATCATTGCTTGAATATTTAAATTGATAAAAGTGAAGTTGCCAGATAATTTGTAGAATGTTAATTATGCCGATAAACGTAAAGCAGGATCTTAGATGTCTCTGTTGTCATCATTGTCATTGTTGAGGATATCATAGATATAATAATAAATTTAATTGTCACGTCACATTAAGGATGGATAATAATATAAACAGTCATCCTCCCCTTCTTCAGCTTCCTCAGCTTCCTCTTCTCCTTCGTTTTCTTCTTCTTCCTCATCACTATCCTGATAGTTTGATTGATTTCTTTGTAGGAACAATTCTGGAACATTTTCTTGAACATCGGAAGAAATTTCAACGAAAAATAAACCATCTCTACTCTTTGGCCAAACTACTGGTGTTGTACTATACTTTGCCTTTTTCTTTCCTTCACTACCAATTAAATGCACAAACCTATTCATCGCATTCTGTTTTCTTTCGGTTTCGATTTTGTCTTTAATGTTGGACACATAGAGCTTTTAAAAACAGTCGATTTATGTTTGATACTTTTAGTGGTATTAATTTACCTTGACATTAGAAATACATTTGATCAAAGTTTCAATTCCTCCTTCATCGACAGATTTTTTTGCGATAGGAAAGCAACAGCGATCAAGTTGCTTCATTACATATCCAATACCTTCAACAAATTCTAAGCTCATAATCACGAAATTGAATCCTATTATCATCATCACACGGATAATGGCTATGGATGTTGTAGTTGTCGATAAGTGAATTCACATGATGCTTTGCCATTAATGTGAGCTTCAATTTATCCTGATAAGATCTGGTTGTTTCAGCCACCTTGGAAAATTCACATAATGAATGGCCACCCTCTTTGCAGCTCATGGTGGATATAATCCTTAAGTCAACTTTTGGCGAGGCTTCGGTATACTTAAAAATAAATGGCACTGTATCCCCCCTAACAAAAATTTTAGTTGTTGCAAAAGCTTCAGTATCAGGTTGTTAAATCAACTTACCAGTGCAAACAGACGTTTGACGTACTGAAGAGTTCCTCAAAAATATGACCCCAGAATTTTAATTTAAAATCCTCTTCTGAGTAAAGGAGCATATTATTGGGACATTGCAACATCAACCATTTGTCCTGAACGATCTTCAACTGAATTGCCACCATTAACACCAGCGACAACACCCACCTACGCATTTCACCACCACAAAAAATTTCCTCATTACCAAGCGTATTCACCATACTTTCATTACGGACCATGTTTTTTTCACGGTCGCAAGATCATCATGGACCGGACTATATCTTCACCCAATGATCTATTGACCATTGGGGCATCGCGTGTAGTCTCTGAGGATCCTACTAAGAATATAATACTATATTCTGTTGGTTTCCTGCTGATTGCCCGTTGTACATACAACCACAAGCTAACCTTGTGATCACTCTTTGGTCAGTCGTTAGATTGACCAGGAGATTAAAAAATTTGAAAAAATGCGGCTTATGTACATGTAAACCAAGTCTACTCGTAGAAATAGGAAAGTTAGACATATACACTAAATAAATAAATAAATAAAAACTTACATGAAACGCGAAACTTCTTGTAGTACTCGTTGTAGCTTTGATACTGGATCAATTTTTTTAATTGCCTTTAATTTTGTAGACAAACTACTTCCTTCCTATTGAACGAGTCAGTAAATTTAGTGATGATCTCCAAATTGTTTTGAAAGCTTACGGTCTTTAATATTTTGCTACCTGGTTGACCCTGCCAGTAGTCATAAAAAAGACAATGTCTACACCTACGTATTTTTGTAAATTTTTTACGTATTTTTTAAATTCGCGTGATCCATTCTTTTTCTTACATACTTTTGATCTTTGAAAAGACCTAGAGGCTGTAGCATAAATTGGAGTTTCGGCGCCAGTAAAATACCACAGCCTTTATCGTTTTTAGCCTTGTACAAACGACGACTCACTCGATTTTCTTCCCCAATGTTTACAACAGGATACGTTAAAAAAGAAAAAAGAAAGATGAACAGAAGAAGGGAAGGAAAAAAATGTTTAAATGGGTTTTATTTGTAGACTGATAAACAAGAGCTGGCTTATGTCAGGATGACTTAATTGTTTATTTATAGTCAAAAGACCGTGGGCGCAAATCTTATTTATAAATTGATAAACAAGAGCTGGCTTATGTCAGGAAGATTTAATTGTTTATTTAATCATCCATATGTTTGAGTCTTCACATACTAGAGAACAGGCGTATTAATAGACGTAAAAAAACAGGCACATAAGAAAGTACGTAGGTGTAGACAATCTCTTTTCTAGAAAATGTTTAAAGATAAGAGTAAAAGGAGACGAGCCAGTAATATGGAAAATCTTACTTCTAGGGTTATTGAAGAAAGCAAAGATGTTCCAATTTAGCACTTGTAAAATTTCATCCAGCATTCTATCGATATTTTCCCTCAATGCCTTAATAAAAACCTTTATAACCACTTAGAGATTCGACTAGAAATTGGTGAATTTATTCTTAAAAAGCTGGGCAAACTAGCTTCAAACACCACTCTCAATTTACTGAATTTTTGGAAAGTCCGCCCACTTTTTTGAATTATTTTATTTGTGTGAGGTTAATTTGCCCAAAATAGTGAGACTAATTTGAACAGGAAGCACAGTATCGTAACATTTTCGTAAAAGCCATAAAAACAGAACAGTCATAGTTTAGAGTATTATTTCCCTATGGAATTTTTTTAGATACGACAACCATTTTTCTATTACTTTCTACAGGAACAGCATAAGCAATTGGTATGATATATAAGCTAGGAGAAAGTCGTATTTTAGAGTAGTAATCAGAATCATAAAATGTGTTTGGTAGAATGCGATTGATTGAGTTGTTCAGTTCACTACCGTCCAGAAGAAATAGCATTTCTGGGATCAATTGATCAAGATTTCTAACTTTTGACAAACCAAAGTTTTCTATTGGTAATTGTTGACTGTATAAATATATTGGATAAACTTTATGTGTGCTCCATGGAACATGTAATATATTACGATTTAGAACGGTACAAGATTATCAAGCCTTGTCTGTACAAGTCATCTAATCATATATAGACTGGCAATGATGTATCTCTTGATGATATGTTTTAAATTATCATCAACTGTACAGCTTACTAAAGAAATACAAATGTGTCTAATGTAATGCAATAACAATATGGTAGCTAATGGGTGCAAAATATTTGGAAGCTTTGTAGTTGAAAGTCAATTCCACCTTCGAGAAAAAGGTAATAGGAAGTCAGCATGCAAAAAAGAAAGAAAGAAAAAGGATCATCGATAAACATCAAAAAAAATGAATATAAAACTTACAGGTGTAGTTGTCATATTCTTTCCCAGTTGTATGGCGTAATTTAAAGACGTTTTAAAAGATACTAGTGATAATACGAGTATATATGGTAATACTCAAGACTTGAATATCTACTTCGAGTCTGTTCATCATTGGGTCTAACATACTTGACTGGCATAAGTGCATTAAGTGGATTGATGGGGGATAAATACCTCTTTTAAACATATTGCAGTCGAAATCTTTTGCCTAATGATTTGATGTGTTTACGTTTAGCACAGAGAGATTGACTAAATGCAACAGTTTATTCAAACATGCTTATTGCCACAGTTATAATAAAGCAGACCTGGGTGGAGTTAAATTTAAGAAAGTGATCGATATGAATAAGTATAGTAAAACCAGACCAACTCTAATTGAGTCCAGTGAAAGCCATGTTACAAGCTGCGAATTTATATTGTGATTCAGTGGATAACAAATATGTATCACCTTTCAAATATAACTTGAATCTCCATGTACAAATTGCAAAACTCACAAAATTATCCATTATCGGGTAAATATTATATGACGCATTACGTAAAAAAAAAAAAAAAAAAAAAAAAAAAGCACACGTGATTAATATCGGCCGTTTTCTTTTTATGTGGCACTTAAAATAATGCAAACAAGCAGTAAATATAATCAGCAGTTGTATCAAAACTTTTGAGAAGTAGTGCCATGAATGGTGCAATACACGGAGTTTAACTGATGACATCTTTTCTGTATTTCTCTCATCAAAGCCATTTGCATAGTTTATATGGAGATGAAGTATATGCGAATATTATCGCTTGGTTTGAATCGTCAGGATTTCCGGGGACATATTAAGTGATGTTTGTTTATCAAATATCTATAGTTGCTGCGCCTGTGATCAACATTTAATAAGATTAGTATTTGCAAACAATATATATTTCTGCGCTCTATTTTTATTTTATTGTTGTGGAAAAAGAAATTTTATAAATAGATACCCAATTTCTTTAGCAATTGTTTGTAAAAAAAGGAGATGTTCTCAAGGAACACAATGAAATTAAAATAGTCTTTTTTTTTTATTTCGATCTCTTTCTCTCTCTCTCTTTAGATGATTTGCCAAAGTAACAGCACCATTACTGCATGTATTAAATGTAATTGATTGTGTGTGAAACAGGGCAAAACCATTTTTAGATTATGAACAATTTGGAAATATCAATTTAAAAACACGCACACGGACAATAAATCCTAGCACTATGAATTTAATTCATGTGAGTAAAAAAAATAAAAATGTGTAATGTTATCATATGCATGTAACTAACATCAAGAGCACATTGAGAACGAAACTATTTGTTACTATTTGTCCAGACATTTTCTGTGCGTGACTATTAGGTCACCATTAATTGAAAGGTCTTCTTTTTAGAAGCATTATTATTGTTTGGCATAGGCCTCTTTTTTTTATGTATGATTTCTCTTCACTGTAAAAGTATCTGTTTGCTCGTTGTTAATTTAAATAGTTGATAAGTAATTTGTGGTCCTACTCCTACTCCTACTCATTCTTGTTTGACGGCCAAGACCTTAAACAAGTGATACAAAAGATGATGAAAACAAGCGTCAGTCTTAAATCAATTTGAAGCCTATTTCTGATGCCAACGATCTATATTAAGGTTAAACCTGCTCGTTTCACCGACTATGTTTTACAGGATATGATTGTAACTATTTTCATTTCTGCATTACCACTAGCTCGCGAGTCCATGTTTTTAATAGGCTTTTTAGACTCAAAAACTGCAAACAAGCAATGTATCATTTGTAAGTTGACAATGGTTGTGAGATGAGTCTCTATAGACGAACAGTGTGTTTGCATCTGTTTATGATTCCAAACAGAATTAGTCCAAATTAGCCTCCCCCCTTTTTATTTTTTTGGGGAACACAAACGTCCGGAATTCTTCCAACAGAGTAGGGGTAGCTCTCAAACATTTTTTTTTTATAAACCGACAAAGCCCAGCGTATAAGCCATGTTTATAAATAGTTGTAGCTGCTCTATGTGGATCCCTTGTAATTCCTTTTAAGACAAAAAGGAGACTGTTTATGTATCGATTCATCTCTTGTATGATTCTAAATTGCTCATTGTTTTCGGTACTTTTCATTCTTGGTAATTGGACTGGCGTATCCAAAAAGAATTTCAGGACTGCGCTTTAACAGCCGCGTTAAAAAAGAAGATAACTTTCTCATTTGGGTTCAAAGGGGGTTATTTCGGGGAGCAATTGAATGTCATAAGAAGAAGTATTTTAGGAAGTTGCCCTGAAAGAAAACGTTATTTATAGCAAAGAAGTCTTTAATTGAAAAAAAAAAGAGTGTACTACAGAAACTAAATTGATGTTGGATTACACAAACTATCGCAGTCTCTAGGGATACAAATTAAATGTTTTTAGTTTTTTTTTTTTCTTATTTTCTTTTTTCATCATGAACTATTAAAACAATCAGGAGCAAAATAATATAAAGCTTCATTATACACTCCTTTCAAAAAAGAAACTTTATTTTCTATATAAAACCATTTGCCCTCTCTATTTTTACCCTTTCTTCTTTCCTTTTTTCTAATTTTAATACATACACACTTGAATGAACCATTCAATTTCTAATAGCAGCACCACTACCACCACCATTAATACTTCCCCTCTTACTAATAACCACATTAATCCACTCAAACGTAAACGTACAATGAAAAGTGTTCAATTTTCTTCCAAAGTTACTGTTCTGGAAACATACTCTGCCGAAGAATATGATCGCTCCGACATATTTGCAGCACCTACCCTTTATACAATTAATCCTAATGTTATACGATCAACACCCCAACTATCCTTAAACATCGAAAACTGTGCGCCAAATCTTGTGAAAGACGAAGACCAAGGGAGTGGAGAGATTTCTAGTGCAGATGTCAGTCCAAATACACCGCCTGGCAACACAGCAGATGAGTATTTCATGAGTTCAATCATGACAAAAAAGAAGAAACAGCGTCCAATTCTTTCAGTAAATACAACCATGTGTGCAGATCCCTTATTTTTCACTAGACTAACAACAAACTATAAAAATGATACCACTACACCTGACACCAAAAACGATTTTTTGGTGCCCATTTCAGCTACTGTTACTTTATAATTTTTTTTTTTCTCTTGTTACTTTCTCTCCTATTATTTTTCTCCTTGTTGTATAAAAATAAATTGTAGTACAATCGGTAGCACAAAAGTTATTTTTATTAAATTGAACTATATAACTATTTTTATATATTTCTATCATCATATCTATATTTTTTTTATATATATTACATGACTGGATAGAGGCTATTCATCTATTTTCATATTGTGCTGAACAACTACCTTTTTTATACCGTGAAGGAGAGGTAAAGATAATAATGCTAAAACTCATTTCAAATTAACCTAAAATAATATAGAGCAGTAACAATAAGGAAATTGACAGCAGCTACTACTATTTTTTCGTGCAACAGCCCCCCTCTCTCCTATTATTTTATCAGTTACCAGCATTTTACAACAAACAATGAACGCAATAGCTAAACCTATTTTTATAACGTGGTCATACGCCATGACGGGGACCCTCTTCCTCTCCTTCATTTTTTGTCACACTCGTTACCCGCAAATAGTTTTTTTTAAAGCGGAGAGATTTCATGGAAAATGACAGGATGTGTCTGGATTGAGTATTTATATTTAATAGTAAATGGCCGGTGGTCGTATGCGTCATGCTTTATTCACAAATGACACATCAAGTGATTTACTAGCATGCTCTTGCCTATTTTTGATTTTTTTTTTTTTTTTTTTTTTTTTTTTTTTTTAGCTCACGACACTCTTGACAATATGTCAAATTGTAATTGGATCGTTTCAAGACTAGCGTTTTATTTGCAGGATCTATAGAGTGGAGCTATAGTATTTCCGTTTTAAGGAGTGACACAGTGAATTGGCGTAAAGTATGAGCTAATTACCACTATTTTCCTATTTGACGCACACATACGATCCTGTGGCAGAAAGAAAGAGAGAAAACGTTCTTTACAATGAAGCATGAATACCCAAATGTTTTAAACGTTTAATACTTGAGGCTTTTTTTTTACTTATACCGCCCCCTGGGGAGCAGTGGGGGAGTAATAATTAACCGCCTTTTTTTTTGTCCCTGGGCGACACACAACCTTAAAATTTTTTATTTATTTTATTTTCCCTTTTTTTTTTCGTCATATTATTTTTTTACTAGAATGGAGAGTCGGAATAATGCATCAACAGTACAGCCATTAGAAACCATGAATCTTTCTCAAAAGCAAAACCTGCATGCTTCCCATACAGACAGACTTTCTGATACCGCTGAAGTTGTGCGTGAAGTCTCTAAAAAAATAGGTATGTAAAAGAATAACTGAACAAAGGTTGGGGGCTGATAATGATAATACAAAAGGCAAGACCAAGGTAAAGTGGGATAACCCAAGAACAGTCATGGTGATTACGAAACCTGGAGACGTATCTTTAATTACCATGACAAGAGACTTGGCTCTTTGGTTTATGACGACTTCAAAAGCTTGTCAAGGTGTTAAAGTGTAATAAGTAAACATAATATTTAGATAGCACTGAAAAACGAAAAAATTTCTTCTGTATATGCTGATTTATTAACATGATTTCCACACAATAGATTTGTCGATGAAAAATTAAAAAATTCAAGAGGGTTCAAGTACCAAAAGATATTACAGCATTATCCTCAAGCCAAGGAAAGATTAGGGTTTTGGACACCTGAACTATGTGCCCTGGAACCAAAAATGTTTGATTTTATCGTAACAGTAAGTAAAAATGAGAAGGGGATGCACAAAAGCAATATATGTATTGACAATAAGGCGTGTCTTATTTTTAGCTTGGTGGGGATGGCACAGTTCTATTTGCTTCCTGGTTATTTCAAACCTACGTCCCTCCTGTCATTCCTTTTCATTTAGGCTCTCTCGGATTCTTGACTCCCTTTGATTTTGACAAATTCGATGTATACTTGACAAGAGTGATGGAGAGTGGAATGAGAGTCAATTTGAGAGGCAGACTTACTTGCACCGTTTATCGAAGAGTTAACACCGAAAATCATAAGAAACCATCCGTCAAGCTTAGAAATGTGCTGCGTAATCCGATCACTGGTAAAATCAAAATAGGTGATTGGTGTTCACCCACTACAACAAAAAATCAGGATAAACAGCATCTAAAAAAGTTTGGTGAAGTGGATGGTGAGGACTATGATCATGACGAAGAAACCGACGCCCATCAGAGTAATTTAGACGATAACACCGAGGATGATTTTGCTGAACAAAGACAAATCCCATGTTTCACAACTATACCCGTGGAAAAATACCAAGTCATCAATGATTTAGTTGTCGATAGAGGACCTAGTCCTTATATGAGTTTATTGGAGCTGTTTGGCGATGATAAACATCTGACAACCGTCCAGGCTGACGGTTTAGCCATATCAACACCGACTGGAAGTACAGCGTATTCCGTAAGTTTCCCTTAAAGACCCAATTTAAACATATTAATTTTCCCGCCTTTAAAATTAGTTGTCAGCCAATGGTTCATTGACTCATCCCGAAATTCGTGCCACACTCATTACACCCATTTGTCCTCACACACTATCCTTCAGACCAACTTTAGTTCCAGATTCGATGGAACTTCGCATTTGTGTACCGTTCAATTCTCGAAATACGGCATGGGCTAGTTTTGACGGACGTGGAAGGATCGAATTGAAACGTGAGTTATATTAGACATGAAATCCCATAGAAAACTAAATCGTTACTTTTTTTTTTAAAAAAAAAAAAGAGGGGGATCATATTAAAGTAACGGCATCAAAGTATTCTTTCCCGACCGTTTGTAAAGAGGATCAAGCTACAGATTGGTTCAACTCATTATCAAAGTGTTTGCATTGGAACAAACGTCAGCGACAAAAATCATTTGCAATTGTAGAATCTAATCGTGGTATGGATAAAAGTACACCACCTACACCCAAACATACAACATCACATCATCATGGAATGTCCATGACCTCCATGAATCAAATCAATACTGCACGTAAGAAAGGATTTGCATCCAATAACCAGAGTAGATCATCGTCTCCACCACTATCACAAAAGAAATCGCCCACAGAACCATCCTACACATCCTCTTCAGACGGATTACATGATGAAGTGTTTGCCATGTTTATAGAAGATGATTATCAGGATGATTCTGAAGAAGAAGAGGACATAGAACATGTTAATGAAACAGACTTTTTCGGTTCCGATGATTCTGACGATGGTTCATCGGTAGAGGATGGTTTCGGTGGTTGGACTGATCAAGAGATTATCAAGGCTCGATTTGCCAGTAAAATCAATCAAGAACTGGAACTTTTATCCCTATCCAAATCTATCAAATAATAATCATAATAATACCACCTTTTTTAAGAAAAAAAACTTATATCTTTTTGCTTTTATTTATATCAATTTGAATAAAACTTTGTAATATTTTGGTGGATAGCGTCGATCCACTGTACAACACCAGCCAATGAAATATAACCAGTGGGCCCATTGACAGCTGTCATAAACGGAATAGTCGCATTGATACGGGACGCGAAATTTTCTGCAGTCGCTTTATCCATATCGCCTGGAATGGCATTTCCTAAAACCGCCTCAATGACAGATGTCGTGTCACCTTCGCTTGTACCAGGCGTTTGCTCGGCCATGATACTTTCTCCAGCACGTACCAACCCTTGATCCCACGCAACGTCTTCAGAAATCATATTGACTAAATCACTAATGTATCTGTACGTCTGATCAGGGTTCACAAGTGTATTACTAATATCAAGAAGTAAATGGTTATAGGTTTGTTGAAATTCAGGTACTTTGAGTATTTGTTTTGTCAGAGGTCGAATGTTCATGCCTGGAAAAGTGCTGTAATTCCCACTCCACATATCTTCTAATTTAAACATCGTGGAACCAAAGGTAAGGTCCATATCTGATGGTATCCAAAAGTAATTTTTCGTGTCTAGGTCTTGATACACATAGTAATTATCAACCAGTGCAAGATATCCATCCGCATAACCTAAAAGAACTTCAAGTGCCATACTTTTTTTTTCAAATTTATGACATCAGTACAAAATTTCTCCCTCTTTTTTTATGTAGATGTATAATTTTAACTTACCCACGGAGAACGGATGCTGTGTCCAAGTGCTTATTCCATTCGTTTACAGCATCAGGAGTGTTTGTAGGTGCATTTGCTATGAATTTCGTAAGTTCCTGCAAGGGTTTCCAGTTCACACTTTTTCCTTTAGCCGCTGATTCTTTAATTTGGTATTGACCTAAACCATATGTTGTGATATTATCGACATATCTTAGATCCGCAGTTAAGTTTACAGCAGCCGAAGCTGGTGTTTGAAAAACACCTTGATACAGATACCCGTTCTTGTATTTAGGATCTCCACCACCAAAGGTATCTGCAACCCAATTATCATGAAAGGTTTCAATGATTCCAAATAAACCGAGTTCATGATCATTCATAAACACACGGATAAATGAAAACCCAGAAGAGGCCAGACCTGTACAGTTGACCATGTCATACGCTAATTGTTCACGAATATAGGAAGGATCCGTATCCATGGATCGAAGCTTTATCCGGCTATTACTATACAACATGTCCTTACCAGAAAACTTTAGATTGTAAGACAGTTTGGGTAACCACCGAGAACTACGACCCGCCAGAGATAATTCAGCTTTTTGGAACGAAAAAACGTCATGCAAACCAACATAGGAGGCGTTTGTCACTACGGTAAAATCTTCTGTACTATTTTGGTGCATTTCATCCATCATTGTCTGATTTCCTACGATATGAATTGTCGGGATTTGACCAGGCTTATGAAGTTCTGTAGTGATACGATGAATGGCGGGGAGTGGAGGGTAAATAATTGGTAATCGAGATACGTCGTATGTGTTCCATGTACGATTAAAAAATTCGTTGGGTGTGTCTTCTGTTGAAGGCTGTCGATCAAATGGCTCTGTTACACTACTTTGGTTGCTGAAAAATCGGACATACTTGTAATTTGATTTGGCTACGGGTGCATCACCCGAGTAAAGAATGTCTGTTCCATTTGTGCTATTTAGTGACATTGGATATGTAACATCATCGACAACGACTCCCATCGATTCACTTGCATTTAATAGATTGATAACATTGTACCCAATAATATTGTTGGTTTCCTGGGCTTCGACTACTTTAGGCACAACAGCAAGTGCTACTTTATATATAATTTGTTTTATTAGCAAGTAATGGACTCATAATCCACCAGTGTCGTCTAACTTACAAAGCAATATTTCTATAATAATCTTCATCTTTATTTGATAAGAAGAAATCATGCAGCTTGAATTTGTTTGGGTTATATATTTAAAAAAAAGTCATGTCTCAGTCATGAACGTTTTACTGACAATAATTGGGGGAAAGGCCAAATATGAAACCCCTTTTTATTTATTTTTTCAAAAAAAAAAAAAAAAAAAAAAAAAAAAAAAAAAAAAAGATATCAAGAAACATGCAACAACTCTATGATTCACACACCGGCTAAACTAATACAGCGAGAACGTGTTTTTTGGATTCTTAAACATCTTCACTGCGCAAAAGGTGCTATTGCTAGTTAAAGTGTCTATGGTTACAAAGTCATAAAGAAAATCCACATTATAATTCGTAATGATCTTATCGATCCTTTCAATATGTGATATAGCTAAATCTATCTATTTATTCACAAATGAATTCCTTTGATTTCAAAACCATTATGAACGTTTTCAGACGATGTAATAAGCTAAACAATTGTGAAAAAACCAATACTTTTTTGTATTATAATTGCCCGCAAATTTAAAGACCCAGTTTTACATTACCAGTCCATTTCCTACTCAATGCTCATTACACCAGGTCTTATATATATATAGGTAAAAAAAAAAAAAAAAAAAAAAAAGAACACACATCGTAAAACAGAAAACTTAAAACATTTTGTTGATTTTCACACCCTAAAAAATTTAATATTAATAAAATACCTAATTATGTCGTCTTTTCTTTTCTTTATGACAATCATATTCGTGTGATGCTTCATATTTGGGAAGTCTAAATAATTCAAAATATCAATAAAAGAGATGCTGCAGACAGTCGAAATATTAAAAAAAAAAAAAACTTACTTGGCAGGGTCCACCCGGCAAAGGTTAAGAATAGAAATAATCGTGATCAAGAGCTTCTGTAGCTGTTAATCGTTTTTTGGGGTCCAAAACCAGCAACTTGTCAATCAGATCGGCAGCAACAGGATCAAAGCTGATGTAATCATCTCGAACATGTCGTGCGCTTGATTCGAACTTGACGCTCTTAGCATTTGGTAACTTATCCCAGTTGGGCATGTTGTTCTGATTGGGTGAGCCACATAAGCTAAATATTTTTTTCAATTGATCAAAGTCGTCATGGCCTCGTAAAATAGGCATTGATTTGATAAGCTCGCCGAACACACATCCAACGCCCCACATGTCAATTGCACTAGTGTATCGCCTTTCACCAAGAATTAACTCTGGTGGCCTATACCATCTAGTAACAACAGAATTGGTATATTCCCTATTGTCATCTTCCATACCACGTGCAAGACCGAAATCTGCAATTTGTAAAACACCATCATTGCTGATTAAGAGATTGGCAGCTATAACAAAGGCAGCTAAGTCAGCAAACTTTGCCACCAAGTGCTATGTCTTTTGTCTTTTGTTAATGGGAATTACCTTTTATGTCGCGATGAAGGATGTAATTCTTTCATAAAAAAGACAATGTCAGTAAACTGATGTTTTACAACTTTTTATATACTGTACATGATGTAGATATGCGGTCCCTTCCAATAGTTGCTTTATATATGCCTTAATTTGTAGTGGGGTTAATCCTACGTTTGGGTTATATACTAAATCTGACAGATCATGATGCATATAAGGGAACACCATATATATAACTCTCTTCTCTACAAAAAAAAGATGAGTTTAAGATGCATATTACAGTCTCAAAGTATAATCGAACGTACCTCTTTCAACCACAACGTCACGTAATGGAACAATATTTTTATGGTCCAATTGTTTAAGAATTTTAATTTCACGGATAACCATGATGGGTACCTAATAAAAGTGAGACTAACTCTTATATAAATTACATTTAAAGTTAATAATACTTACCCCTTCCTTTTCGTCGTCCACTAAAATTCTTTTTAAGGCAACTAAGCCATTGCTTTTGTTATCTCTCGCTTTATAAACCGCACTGTAATGTGGTTAAATGCACGTCAGCCTTCACATTCAGGATTAATAGCGAATGATACAGTCTTACCCGAAACTACCTTGACCAATCTTCTCCAGAAATGTGTAGTCCGATATACTTGGAGGGTCTTTGAATTGTCGTTGATTCGTAGTTTGCGATGATCTGTGTGCTGGTGTGGAGGATGCTGCGCCATTCCTAGCTGGGGAAGAAAAGCTTGAAGGTGAGCCCCCGTATTCTTGGCTCAAACGTATTTTCTTTTCATCAGCTTTGTTGCCGTTGTACTTTTGTTTCATTTCCCACAGTTATAAAAAGGAACTTTTTTATTTGAGCTTGCAAAGAAGAAAAAGAAGAAAAAGAGAAAGAAAAACAAAACTCAAAACAAAACTTTATATTTTTAAAAAAAGGCAGTCCTACTGTTATTCCTCAATTAGGAAACAGTAGGTAGACTTTGTCGTTCACCTCTGCTTTTACACAATCCCTCTTAAACTTGTATAAGTCTGGAGTGTTTCGTGCTATTCAAATTGAAGTGATTGAGTTTAGCGAAAATTATATATGAACAACAAGCAGCCGTTTTTAATAAAGTTTATGAACGACCTTATCACGATGCTTCCCAGACAGTCCATGGGCATGGCTCTATTTGAACGATTTAAGCAAGTATACGAGGGGCTATAGTCAGACTACAAAGAACTTGAAAAGGCCGCAATTCCACGTTCTCTTTTAGAATAATAACTGACAAAAGCAAACGCAGAAGGCGGTTTAAGTCAGTGCATCACGGGAATGCGCGAGACAAGTTAAAAGGAAGTACCTCTGCCGTTGAAGGAACAACTATAATCAACCCTGATATTGTGAACATTCAATTTACGACTGACTCTGGGATAACTGCAGCTGAATATATAGACATGCCCAATGACACTGGTTTCGGAATCAACGTGTTGTTACTCGACTTTCCGTTTTTGTGATCTGAGCATGGCTTAAAAGAATGGTAAGAATGTTGATGAGACCACAGGAATGGCTCAGGAATGAAACAGGTACAATACAACAGATTGGGCTGGCAGGAAATCCCGAACAAAGGTTGGTCTAGCGTCGAACGAGCGGACAATCTTTAATTAAAATCATTCTTTTACTAGATCAGCTTCCAACACCTGAAAGGCTACTATAACAATAGTTTTAACAACTTAATCTCGATCGCTTCACAAAGTAAACAATTGTCTAAGAAATCTTCCTTATATAACGGGAATAAGGATTTTTATTTTGAAAGAAAAGTGGATACATTTTTATTAGGGAAGATAATTATCCATGTATCAGCGTTGAAGGTCAAGTAAATCATCTAATATGGTGTTTCTTTCATCTTTCAAAACAGACTCTTGAGGTCTAATTTAGTTTTTAAATTAATTCCATACGGTTCCTATATCATAAAGTTAGAAACAGACATAATACATACATCATAAATATGACATTAGACACAATAAAGTTGCTTACCTTTTGAACCACTTCGGAAAGAGCAAAATGATGCAAACGTTTAATACTCATAATAGTCTACATGACCGAGCAGTTACGACACATAAAACACAATATGTATTTCTATCACCTGGAGAAGAGCAAGTATATTCCTGTGTCTTGTTGATGAGATATACCACTACATTGTTTTTGATTGTATAATCTTGTTTTCAAGGTATTCTGACTGTACTTAGAAAAGCGTTTGGAAAAACGTGGCTTTGACGGGACTTCAAATCAAATGAAAACCATTACCGAGCAGTAAAGAAAAAAAAAAAGCTTTTTTTTAGTTACTCTCATCAAAGCACTAACAAAAACATGAAGGTTTCTGACAAAACTTGTTGCAAGTGTAAAACCGAAGCTGCCACTGTCTTGATTCGTCAAGCCTATTACTGCCAGTAAGATTAGCTACTTTCAATCAATTAATTCAAAAAGGACTGACACCCTCTTTCTACACCAGATCTTGTTTTAATTTTACATTTGTTGGAAAGTATCGCTCGATTTTACTTCGCTTGAGAAACGGTAATCGACAAAATGGCAAAGTTTTGCTTGCATGTTCTGGTGGACCTTCCTCCATGTAAATTCACTTTTTTTCCAACAAAAATGAAAATTGTGTGTCTAATCATAATTTTTCTTCAATATACAGTGCCATGGTGAATTTGACCAAAAACTTTATGCGTGTAGTACCCACCGAAAAGAAAAAAGTACAATTAATTCCTGAAGCCATTGTTTGTCATATCGACGAAAGTACCTTGTTTGAAAATAATGTAAGGTAACACACTTTTTTTTTGCTTGCATATTTGATCTGTAAGTTTCCCCTTAGTCACACTCATACCATGTATTATAGAAGGGATATTCAGAGAAATTAACAGAGAATATGAAGAAGGATTTCGCCGATTTTGAATATTTCAGTTATCGTTTAGAGGAAGTATTTGGACCTGAATTCACAAGCAGTGGAGAATTCAATAAGATTTTGAAGTCCACTTCAGGTGGTGTTGAAAATGGTGAATACGAACACTTTGTACAGTGCGTACAATCGAATTCGAATCGTCCTTTAGCAGAGCAATTACAGGCATTATTCAATAGTATCAAGAGAACAGCTGCCAAAGAAGATTTGATCTGGAATCTCAAGATGAAGATGCTTGTCACCATCGCTCGCCGTGAAGGGTAATTTATTTACTGAGAGAAACACAAGACCATAAATTCATTTATCTACGATTTATCTAGTTGCTCGTTTATTTTTATGGGAGATAGTGCCACACGTCAAGCCATTAAGATGATTGCCATGACCAGTAAAGGTCGTGGTTACACATTACCCTTGGATATCGGTGTGGATAACGAATTAAGCTTTAAAGATGTCTGTATCATGCGACCCATGAAGGATATGCTTTCCAAGGAAATCGGCTTTTACAACTACTTTAACAAGATCGATCGTTACATTATGCCTGCCTATAACTTTAGCACCATGATGCCAGCCAAATCCTCTATTGAACGCTTAACAGAGGATTTTATTGTCAGTATCGAACGTGAGTTTTCTTCTACAGTCAGTACGATTTGTCGTACCATCACAAAGTTGCAACCTTCTGCCACCATGGACTTAACCAAGACATGTGCCATGTGTTTAATGTAAGTCTCATTAAGTAAGCAAAGTAGAATTGTAAAAACTAAGAAAATTTATGTTAGGCCTTTGGAAGCAGGTATTGCAGAATGGAGAAGACATATTACGGTGACAGATGTTGAGGGATCCGAATTACCATCAGAAAAGAATGGATGTGGAGACTGTTCTACTGCAGGTGGATGCTGTAGCACACCTGATAAGAAGGAAGATAAAGCTGTGGTGGATATGAACAAATTCATGTGTTACAATTGTCAAGTAAACCTTAAAGATTATAACTCGACTACCATTGAAAACTTGCCACCTTATATGGCTGAATCCATTGTGGATCAAAGTCGAGATAGCCGATTATTAGATCAAATCAAGGATTTTTTGATTAACGATGATGACGATGAGGAATAAAAAACACGCTTAGAATAGATTTGAAATGTTTATATATTTTCATATTTTATGTGTCTAATTTATATGTTTACATGTAAAATGGTGTTGTGTGTGTATATATTTATATGAAAGAAAGAAAAAAAGTGTGTGTGTGTGTGTGTAGAGTTCTAGATATATAAGGTTTTGGTTTTTTATGGTGATGAACTAAGCATCCAGAAAGCTGGAATGCCTAATCTTCCTTTCAATTCATCATCATGCATTAATTTTGCAATATCCTGTTGAAGATCAGCGCCCTCCATATCTTGTTCTTGTCCCAGCAAGTCCCAACGTTCTCCAAAATCATTTAAATGTTGTACCATCCATAAACGATCCTTTTCGGTTGTCTTTTGTACACGTTCATCAATGGGTACCTGAGCATAATGACTATGACTAAAAGCCGCTTGAGCCATATAGGCCAAGGGTTGTAAACGAGATTTGACAAAGGCAGCATCCCCCGCTGTCAGGGTTGGTAAAGCGTCCGAGTATTTCTTGAGATGAGCTACAACTGAATGCGAGATCTGACCTTCGTTGGCAGCTGTATAGTGCCATATATCCTTGGCAATGCCAGCATTTTGAATACCCCGTGTTAACAAAGTCCAGTATTGCAAGTTTAAAGTTTCATAATGTAATAAAGCTCTCCACTCCATCTTGGGATCAACCTCTGAAGTACTGGAGGATAATAAACGGCCACGAGTCGAACTTTCTTCAAAGGGTTGGGTACCATCTTGTTTAAATTGTTTGCCGATACGCATACGACATCGATTGGCAACTCTTAAGAATAACCTTACGTCATCTGTGAAAGCCGCCATGGCTGTAACTTGCAAGTCGTACAAAACGCCACGATGATCCGTCATTTGAGCCAGATGAATACCTGTAGGGGAAGTGACGAGATATTCGAGAAATTCAGCGGTGATGGCTTGAAGATCAATGTATTCCTTGTGAGTAAGCGCTTGCATGTGTCTCAAGATTCGCATGCAGTCCAAAAGAGAAGAAACATCTGTTTTTGTTAAATCGGAGGTATTTAAAATGCGATTGTTACTGTATTTGGGTACGACATGAGAGATGCGGCTTAAACTTGGGAAATAATAGCCTTGGTCTGATAAAAAGTCCAAAAGGTGACTATCATCTGGTATTCTACGTGCTGAATTATATTCATCTTCATCTTCTACGGCATATTCATTCAAGAAATGAACTCGAATCAGGTTAGCAGCACCGCGACCGAATTTTTCATTGCCTGTGAAATAATTAGCCATGGTCAGGATGGTTACATTTTGAGAGAGAGGACCGAGTTCATCCTTTTCGGGTACAGTGTCAAACGGTAAACCATCTTGTTTATCTGTGGCTGAAGACATGGGAGCTAATCGTTTTTGGCTCTCCTCCAGGATGACCTCTGCTTTTGATTCTAAGCGCTCAATGGCTACACGGACTTCCTCATCTTTGGTCCAATATTCATAACGTACACTATTCATGGATTGTTCATCGTACAAGAAGAGTTTGTCATGATGGAAAGTCTTGCGAGCAATACCTTCATCCAAACTATCCAGTGAAGATTGGATCGCCATTAAACGATTAAAAGCCCGAATGGAAGTAGCTTCCTTTTTGTTTTCTTCTTGTGATGGGTTACCTGAAAATAATCGAAAGACCCAGCCAATGTTTTTGAAATTACCCTTGTCTTTGCTATAGGGACGCTCGGTTGGTTCCCATGGCACGGTTGGTCTATTTAAACGACGATTTTCCAAAGCACCCAGACACCATAGCAACTCAAGCTTAAAAAAAAAGGGAGGTTAGATCGAAAATGGTAATAAATTGGAAGGAAATGCGAACCTTGCTTCGTCTGCCGTAACGCATATTGAGATTGTATTCTTCTGTAGCATCATGACGAAAGATGATTTGAGGTTCTTCGGGGGTTTTTGGTCTTTCATCGAGATTGTTGAGCAAGACAGAGTTATTCAAGAGTCTTGTCATGGGAACGACAAAGTATTTTGTATCATTTCCAAACTTATCTAACTGCGAAGTGATTTCCTTGAAGCCATTGTTACTCAAATAACAGTTACCATCAAAGGGCATGATCCATTTTGCGTTGGGCAAACTGCGGCCGTGTTGAATGGCTGTGTTACGTCCGCCATTCTAATAATACCAGAGTCCATTGTTATTTATAGAACTAAACTAGTACAAATAAAAAAAAAGGACTTACATTGTTCATTGCGTATAGGTTCTTGACATGATAGGTATAATCCAAGGCTCGTAATTTCAATACTTTTGCATAACGGCGATAATTATCAGAATGGAAGAAATCAGCGTCTGGAAACTTTTCGAGTTGAAAGTCGAGTTTTTCATATTCTGACTGGTCAAAGGGCAAACGAATATAATCCATTTGATAGCTATCGAGTAGTCGAATGATGGTTGCTTCGTTTACAGGATCTATAATGCGGTTGAGCAAGAATATTTTTTGGGTGTTTGGAAATGCAGGTTCATGGTCGAGAATGAATTGGAGATTGGAAAGTGTTTGACCTTCTTTGTGACGAGGAGGCAAATCGTTACCAATGATGCGATAAAGAATGATTTGGTCTCGTTCGACATGGATGGGTTTGGGTTCCTCCAGATTCCAAGAAGGGTGAGTTTTATAGTCGGGTACGTTCTTGACAAAACGAAAGAAAGGAATGTAGCCAAAGATGAATAAAAGGCCTACGACAATCAGAAACAATTTGAGCCATTTTGATTGTTGATGGTATAATAAACTAGAAGAAGAGCGTCGACTGGTTGTATTGGCAGCTAAATTATACTTTTTATCTTTGTAAAAGCTTTTGCTTTTGTTAGAAGGTCCCAAATCAAGTGAAAGCATGTCGAGGTGTTGACTTGGTTTTCGATGTTTAGTGTATTCGGTCTTTACAGTCGTATTTGTGGAAGAAGAAGACCGACTGTTTACATCGTTTTTTAGGAAAGGTGGTAGCATCCTTTTTTTTTTTTTTTGGGACTTTTTTTAAAAAAAAGGGGGGGTGTGTGTGGATTGGGGGTGCAGTTGAGGTTTTTTCTGTCTAAACAAAGGGCTCAAGAATAAACATTAGTCTAGATTCATGTTTAATTTCATCTCCCTTTTAATGGTTTCAAAAAAATTATCTTGTAAAATGTGTGTCACGTTTAATTTAAAGCGCTGAACAAAAAAATATAATGAAAATGTTAAGGGGATTTTTGCTGTAAGGGAGTCCAAATTTATTCAATGATTGGCTCCGTTTCTCTTTCAATCCATGTCAGTGTTTGACTATCTTTTATAAGCGGCTCCAAAATATCTCGGCATTCTTGATGGTAGGCGTTCAACCACAATTTATCCTCTTTGGTCATTAGCTCTGTCTCTACCAGAGTTTTTCCAAAAGGCACAAACGTAATATGCTCAAATCCTAGTGAATCCACCTGTCCAAAACGGTACGCAGTATTCACTCGGCGCACTGTCATGATATTCTCCAACCGGATTCCAAACTGTCCATCTTCATAATAACCAGGCTCTAATTATTATTATGTATTAGCCCTGTACATCTTAAAACAAGCCCCCCACTCTATGCTATTTACCGTTGGTCACAACCATCCCAGGCTGAAGTGCCACGTTGTTATATCCTAATCGACTGCCAATCCCATGCGGTCCTTCATGTACGTTTAAATGAGCTCCCACTCCATGTCCGACGCCATGTCTGAAATTTAATCCGTCTTTCCATAGTGGCACTCTAGCCACAGCATCCAGCTGATAGCCTATATTTAAACATTATTATGAGATCTTTTGTTGACTCCGCCTAAAAACAAAGAAGTTACCTGTGGTGCCTTGAGGAAAGATGGCTGTGTCTACTGCAATATGCGACTGTAATACTCTTGTAAATGCTCGTTTTTGAAACTGGGTAGGTACACCATCAAACAGAAAAGTACGTGTGATATCTGTAGTACCATCTACATATTGTGCACCTGAATCACAAAGATAGACTCGTGTAGGGTCGATCCATGCAGAGTCTGTCTCATGTGGCTGATAATGAATAATCGCTCCGTTGGGTCCCGTGGCAGCAATTGTATCAAATGAAGGTCCCACATAACTCCTGTCTGTGGCTCGCATGCTTTCCAAGTGACTGGCTGCTTCAAACTCTCGAATCTTATCTCCTCTTTTCAAACTATGAGATAACCAACTAAAATGCTTACATAAGGCAACTGCATCTCGCTTATGACATTGTCGCATTCCGTTTAATTCAGACGGGTTCTTTACTGCTTTGGCAAGACTGATATAAGATGGTGATGACTGATATTCTTTATGTTGAATGCTTCCTAGAATAGACATGTTGGTGGTATGTGGGTCGAGAGAGAAAGTATCGTTTATTGTCTTTAGATCCTCGAGAATGTTCTCATACGCTTTGATATGAACACCCCCTTCAGCTAAATGCGATTTCACTGCAGTAGATAAATGCGTACTAGGTTGAATATACAATGTGGCATCATCCTTAGTGACAAGACAGTAAGAAAAGAAGACGGGAGAACAATGAATATCCGCACCACGTAAATTCAATAACCAGGCTATTTCATCCAACGAGGAAATCACTGTGGGGTGACCATCACAAGCACTACGAAGGCCATTTAATTTAGATTGAACGGATTTCCCTGCATATTGGATAGGATGTACATGAACCGGCTCCGAAGGTCGCTGGGGGCGATCCCTTCTAATTTGATCCACAGGGTTGGTTTCCAAGTAAATTAGTCGAGAGCCTATCGAACCAAGATCCTTTTCCAGTTTACTTGCTTCATCTGCACTGATCACGGAAGGATCAATACCCACACTTGAATTGGCAGGTATATCCTAAATTAAATGATGGGGAATTAATAAATACATGTCAAATCTGGAATAAATAGGACACTCACCTTAATCAAATATTCTTGCCATGTAGGTACACCTGGTAATCCCTGTTTCATTAATTTCCAATGCTCCAAATCCAATTCTTGGGAAGCTTGCAGAAAATATCTTCCATCTGTAAATAATGCAGCTTTCTCCCTTGTCACAATAGCACAGCCTAATCTTTATTTTTCTAAATATCTACTATTGAGCTTTTTTTACCCCCTCCCCTTTTTATACCTGCAGAACCCGTGAACCCTGACAACCAGGATCTACGATTATCGCATTCGGCTGTGTATTCACTCTAAATAATTAAGGTTTTTTTTTTAGTGTGGTCTGTTTCTATCGCTTTCTCTTCTATACCTACTTGGTGAGCATCTTCGGTAGGTATGACACTATTCGATACAAGGATTAATACTTTTATTGTGAGGCTATCAGCAATTGTATTATTTACAAGGCATCCACCTTCATGGTCGCTCTTAATGCATTTAATTTTGACAGTGCGTTTGTCGTTAAGGTTCTTTTTTGTGGAAATAGTATACGAGACAACATTTTTTATATGTGTGTATACAGGGAAGAAAAAGGAATAAAAATAAATAAATAAAAACGTCCTATATGTATTTTTTTAGATCCCAGATAGTGTACAATACAATACACAACGGGGGTGTGTAAGCTGACAAGTTGTTGTTTTATTAATATTAAATTATTTAGTGGGCATCATCACGCTTGCCAATGTAATCAATGGCTTGTCTAACACTTTGAATGGCATCAGCATCCTTATCGGGAATTTCAACAGAGAATTCTTCCTCAATAGCCATAACAACTTCAACTGTATCTAAACTATCCAAACCAAGATCCTTGATGAAATTGGCCTCGGCTGTCACCTAATTTAATTCCCCCAGATGTCAATTATCCTCCATACATATCTCTCTTTTTTTACACAAATGCATTTCTTACCTTGGAGGCGTCAACTTTGTCGAAACCCTTGACGACATCGAGAACACGAGTTTGAACATCTTCCTTAGGGAGTGTAGCATACATGCGAGAGAACAAGGCGGGAGCAGCCATGCGACTGGCACTTACTCTAGAGGCAGCATTCAAAAGAACAGTAGGACGAAGAAACATTGTAAAGAGGAGAGGGGGGTTTATTTAGTACAGGAAAAAAAACACAACGACAATTCTAACGAAAAAAAAATGTAACAAAAAAAAACCCTGCTATCTTTTGAGACTCCTCTCAGTCCATAGTCTACGTCATCCCACACGTCAAACTTTTTTGGGCGTGTTCAAATTTAAGGTTATGTTTGCTAATCAATCATCTATCTTCATCCTATGTGATATGTCTCGCATATTCACTAATCTACACTGAAATTATCTGACGGATAAAAGAAATCTCGTCGGGATTTGAGAAAAACAATATCTGGTGAAAGGTGGCCTAAATTGACATAATATTTGTGGAAAATCAAGTATTGTAACTCCTCTTTTTCTTGTATTTTAACAAAAAACACTTAAAAGGAAGTACGCGGTTTTGTTTTAAGGCCTGAGAGAATCAATAGTATTGTATCAGAATATTTTCTGAAAATTGTGTACACTGACTCACGCATTACTTAAAGTAACCCAGAAAAGCACGGGCGAAGTTGGATAGACCTATTGCCATCTGGCGCAACATGTCGGCATATTGAATAAATTACCACTATGTTGTGTCAACTGCATAAACCATGTAATAAGAAATGCTGATTCAGACCAACAGAAACCAATTCATAAACGGACTTTGTACTCACTGTTTCTGCAGATAACTGTTAAAGAATGGCAATAATTACAATTGCATTATGCTAAAATTTCAATAATAAATAATTTATAACCGTTGTTTGATTCACATATCAAAAAAGATACTACAAAGAAAAGAATGTCAAGTGCAGATTTAAGATTCCTAAGAACTATGGTCCCCTCAAGTCTGATATAACAAGTAGGCTATATCGTTCAAACAATGCTTCGAGTGTGATGATGATAGAAGCAACTGGGAACGTTTTATCAAGACCATCTTCGATAAAGAGGATTGCTACGATGGTATCGTTGGCTTCATCGAAGAAAGTAAGAAAAAAGCCCAACCAAACAATGTATATCACTATTTCTTTGCTCAGACTGGCAACAACCTCATTGTTTGGTCTAGATCCACCAACGTTAGAAAAGTATAATGCCAGAAGTAACATCTTTTGATAGTAATGATTAAATAAATCATGTACATTTGAAAGCAATTTTTTTATATCTAACGTTGGCCAAAGTTTTTATACCTTGACGCTCTTTTCGGTTTCTAATTAGACTCTTCAGTGTTTCGCAATCTGTGCAAGTGAACCACCTAATAAGTGATTTGCAGATGATCCATGCTCTGTTCGGGTTTATCTTTCAAACCAAAAAACGATGACATCTCAAGCAGTAGTATCTCAGACTCATCGAAGTCCCATATCTTAATAATACCATCCAATTCAATAATTGGTTGAATCGACGACATTATAACTATTTTGCCAGAGACTGTAACGACATTTCATCAGGTTTGAATTCCTTAAAATTACTTCAGCGATGGTGTTTAAAAAAGGAGTAGAAACGATCCCTCAAATTTTATCTCTTCACATTCGTGACAGACGAAGACTGGATTAACAAATAACAATTAAAAACGATTTGAATGAAGTTTTAATTAGATGTGAATCTACAATTGAATTCACCGACATGAGTCTCTCATAACGGTCAAAAAAAGAGAATGGCCTATGGTGCATGAACGGGCTTTGGATGGTCACACACCTGGGCCAAAAATAGAAAAAGGGGACTGCTAAACATGTAGAACCAATCATGCCCAGGTTGTATATATCCCTTCCAATGATTTCTATTTCTCAAAAATTTATTCTTTTTCTCTTCATCTGTATATTTGAAAAAAACCAATGTAAGTAACTACAATTGAGCACTTTGTTTGCGTTGATAATTAACAAGGGCCCTGTAGATATACACACATACATACACAATGCCTTACAATTCCAACCGTCGAGTCAATACCCCTATGGCCAGTCAGCCCAGCCGCACAGTTTCATACAATTCAGGTGGTCTTAATGAGAGGTAAGTTTGAATATAGCAATGCAAAGCTGTCTGTATGTGTACAATGCTAATAGTATATACACAGATTCAGTAAAATTGTAAACAGTCAAAAAAGCAAGCCCAACCCTACCACAACACGTCCTTCTGGTCCCAGCACTAATTCCAGTGTATTCAGTCGTCTTCGTGGCGCCAAACCTGTTCGTGCAAAGAACACGATTCAAAGTCGACTTGGAAAGATTGGTGGAGGAGTAAAAAAGAGTAATAAAGTGACAGCTGTTCGCAAACATGTTGTAACAAAGAAGAAGACAACAATCGGTAAGAAACCAGTACAAAAGAAAAAGGTGGTCAAGAAACCCGCTTCTGCACAAGATCTTGATAAAGCTTTGGATGATTATATGATGAAGGACCCAAAAACTATGCAAGCAAGATTGGATGCTGATATCACCTCTTACATGGCCGAAGCAGAGGATATTCTCATGGATGACAACTTGTAGTCTTCTCTCTCTCTTTTTTTTTCAATAAAAAAAAACTTCCCAATATCGCGTCGCAGCAAAAAAAAAAAAAAAAAATTTACTTAAAATTCAGCCGTTGGTGTTTGTTATTCGTTTGGGAATCTATGCGTTGATCTATATTTAGTCACACTTTCTCCTCTCCGGATCATACATACAGATGGCCCAGTATGGAGTTTACCGTTATTTGTTTTGGCTCGCCTTTGCTCCATCAAGTCAATATTTGATCCCTTCAGCACTGAAGCTATTATGTGTCACTAACACGGAAGAGATGTATTCAATGGATTAATTAACGTGATGATTTATATATAAGGTGCCATGGCTTCTGATCAAAGTGCTGGGGTCCAAGGAGTTTTTTTTTTTTTAGCTGCTCTACATTCGAAACCATGTAGTAAGCCTTCCTTTTTCTAATTCTGGGATAAAGAAACTATTAATTGTAGTAAGGAAGATACTGGAACAGCCTCATTTGATTATTTGGATTTGATCAGCCAGGACAGTGAGTAATACTGTACATGTGTTGTACATCTTAGTGTTTAAGGCGCTTTGCAAAACCGATCCGCTATGATTTTTTTTTCTTTTGGATTATTTAGGGATATTGTCTTGAAATCAGTTTTTTGTGCTGAATCACTCAACATGATTTAGGAGCTTATTAGTGTCTTTAAAGAAATCAGTAGCAAGGTATGAAAAAGGAGACGTTGCTTCGAAACTGATAAAATAATGCATTACTTTCAAAAATAAATATAACAATTGTGATTAATTTCGTTTAAAAGGGCAAATAAATTATAGTCGTTCCCACTCTAACACTTTTTTTCTAAATGTCTGCTTAATTGTTTATTTGGAAGATTGCCACTAAGCGCAAAATTTCCACATTAATTTAAGCTCTGGGTAGCGATATAGATGGCAGGTTGAAAGTAAACACATTCGTTCAAAGGTCATTTCGTTCAAATGAGTACGACTTACTGACTATGAGGCATTTTGGTCCGTATAGTTATCTCATTGTAAATAGAAATAATTAAATTGGTGACACATCATCAAGTGATAAATGATCTTGGAAGGCTTGTAATGACTTTTTTTCGCCACTGGCTATTGTATAACGAGTAACCTCGTATCACTGCGTAGTAATGTATTACGGGGAATCCACTCATACTCTCAATGCATCCTTAATTTGGGCATACAACGTAATCACTAAATTGCTGACAGACATCTATTTATCTTAAAGTGGACGGGCTAATGTAAGTTTACGACATTGTTATTTTGATACATTGACATGAAAAGTTTTAAACCATACGTATGCTTTTTAATTAATATAATGTTACCATGCGAAACACGAAAAAATGAATTGGGGTGTTTATCATTGGTAAGAGCAGGATTTAATAAGGTTGATTTATTAACAATTATATATATATGATAGCAATGGATGCCATAAAGATATAAAGTGATCTTTTTTTAACCTTTTGATGTCGCATGAGAGATAAAGGTTTGAATCTCAGTTTTAAACTCGACAAACACGCGTCATACCATTTTAGTTTGCCCTTCTTTTTTCTTTAAAAAAATAAAATATTCATTCATTTTCTTTTCTCATCTATAACAAATATAGACAAAAGTTTCAACCAAGGAAAGAAATGATACCATTGTCAGTAATCGATGACGATAGTCAACATACGATGCACTTTTCTCAGTGCTTACCCTATGCCAATTTACTGGAACATGAAGCAGAACAATGGTTAGACGATATTTGTGTCAATCTCGCACTGAGTGTCAAAGCAAAAGATTTCACTCGTGGTGCTTTATCTTGGGTAAAACGACTATCAAGGTAAAACTGATATAATAATTAACATGGTTCATGTTTAGAAATTAATTGAAATATTACAGTTATATGGATATGAAGCACGCTGTACCTAGACACATAAGAGCACAATTAGCTAAACTACTGTACGAAATGGTGATTATGCCGGGAATGGAACCTGCACTAGTGGAATTATGGTCCAATAATTGTATCCGGTTAATCAGGTAAAAGCACAGTTAAGCTGTAGCATTGAATAATTATTCACTGACTACTATTTAAAGACACAATAAGAGACTCGGCCCTGAGGATCTTCAATTGCAATGGCGCCCATTATTTGAGATTATCGATAAAACTTTATTTCCCAAAGCAAGACAAAGAGCCTTAATCAGCGAATCGTAAATAAAACAAAGGATATATTTTAGTATGAGTCATACGGGTGGACTAACATACTTTCTTATGATAGAAAATTATTAGGTGCTGTATTGCGATTAACTGGATATGCACAAAGATTCTTTTCATCTACATCTAGCCAAGAAATCCTCGATGAATTCCTCCCAAAATTCACTACACATTCTGTGTCCGAAGCCATTCGTGCTCAGGGATATATTGTATTATTCTTACCTGTTGAAAACCAACCCAACTACACATTACAATCCCAAGACTATTTATCTACGATATTTTCATTATGGTCGATTTTTACATGCTCATCCACATATGACACCCAATTTGCTTCGCTCGTATCTCGCATCGCTGAGAGTAATTTGGATGTAGGAAACTCGGATATCGGATTGTTCACTAAACAACAAGTAAAGACTGTTTTTACAACCGGACTGCGTATGATGAATTTACCCGTAGGTAGTCGTAGCGATGGAAGTAGTTCAGTTGGAGGAGCAGCAGGTGGAACAACTACGGGATATGGATCACAGGGGATTCGCGTAGATACTAAGGCTGGTTCATCTTTATTACTACGTAAACGACCGGAAAAATTCAAATCCTTGGCTCGATTCATTGTTTATACAATTATACCTGACACCAACAATTCCAGTTATTCGTTAGATCTTTTATCCGAAATGATTCAGGCTACCGAGTTGTATTATCATCCATCAAACCATGGTCAATGGTCTTATTTCTTGACATCGTTCGCTCGCCATTTGTCATCCGAATTTTTGAAACGTTGGAGAGAAGAGTTAGAACCAGATTGTAAAACACCTAAAGAACGTCGATTAACACCTGAGATCCGACATAAGTTTGTCATGATTTTACGTCCCGTCACCTACCTTAGTATGTTCGGTAAAGATCAATACACTGTGGGTGCATCTCAATTCACCCTCAAATTTTTGTCATGGCTTGAACCGGGCTTGATCTTCCCCGGATTATTGGAACGTATTTATCCATCATTAGAAACTTTAACCGAAACACATCGTACATCAAGTGCCCTCAGTATTTTGGCAGATATCGCTTTACCTTTGTTCTCACGCGACCATTATCCTGCGGGAGGTAAACATTTATTGCCATTACTACAATTGGCTATTCCCGGTATTGATATGAACGATCCGTTGAAGACGATTTCTTCCCTCATGTTTATATCGACCGCACTCATGTCCATCCCTATTTTTGACCAAACGCAAGTACCCAATGATTATTTTCCCACTGAAGAATATATGGAAGGTGTTGAGTTATCGAGAGAAACCGAAGATTATCTTGTGAAGGCTACGACGGGAGAATTTGAAGAGTGGTTGGCTAAATTCATGCGTCGTGTGTTCACAATTTTTGAAAATTTGCCTCAAGAAAACCGAAAGAAGCAAGGAAATATGGAAGTGGGATTGACCCAAATGTTGTTACACACCTGTGATATTATTTTCAACCAGTTATCGGATTCGCTGTATGATTTAGCGTTAAAGTTGGTGAAGGAGTTTGTGGGTGATCGTGTTTTACCCAACGCCGTGCGTGCTGTGGGTCAATTATGTGATGCCCTGACAAGTATCCATCCCAAAAAGGCTGCTAAAGCATTTATCCCGCTCTGTATCACAAACATTCAAATGGAACTGGAGCACGGTGCTGCATCCACCGTGTCACATTCTGCGGCATCGAATTTAATTCCTTCGGATGCTACCTTCCATTGGTACCAAAATGTATTATTCTCCGTCGTATCTAGCCTGGGACCTGAACTTTTGGTGTACAAGCAAGAAATTGTGGACATGACACAAGCGATGGTCAACCAATGTCGCAGCCGACGTGGTATGATGTGGACAGGTAAATTAATACGTGGTGTGTTGGGTACCATTTTGAACATCTACCCCTTGGATTATAGAAGTTTGAACCCTTCACAGTGGAACGACAAGGATTTCATGGAAAAAAATGCACACCAAGTGTGGGGACAGCCCGGAGATCCGGCTAATTTGGAAATTCAATGGCATACACCGAGCGAACCCGAAAAGGATTTCGCATTAGAATATTTATCGAAATTCTTAACACCCTGTATCAACCGCTTGAATGAAATGATGGCGCTGGAGCAAGTAGGAAATAGTCATGATATCAGTAACGAATTCTGTCGAAATTTAGCTGTATTACGTAATTGTTTGATGGGAAGTGCTACGATGGTCGCAGATGATGGTGTCGAAGTAGTCGAAACTGCCACCGATGACGACGAAGTGGTTCATATTCCCACGTTACAAGTAGGATATGCATTCACCGACCTTTCCGATCCACGTACCCAACACGCAAGAGGAATCCGAAAGACCATTGGTGAACTCGTCCATCAATTATCCAACTATTTTACAGCACACCGTGAGGACGATGTCGAAAGTGTAAAGATTCTCATCAAAATTGCTCGCACGTTTCTGTCCGAACGTGGTGTTGAAAAATCTCAATTTGATCACAGTAAGAGTGGATATAGTTACGCCAAGAATATTGGACAAACACCCTTATGTAAAAAGCGATATCCCCGAAATTTATTGATCAGAAGAGCTTATAACCACCACATGTTGAGATTAAGACAGAATGTACAAAGTCGTATCCGTACACCGCTCCATGATGCCATTTTATCAGACCTGTTAGAAATGTCATTGGGTTCTTATGCAGAGATTCGAAAGGTCAGTCAAACCGCTTTGTCTGCTACAGCGCGTTGTTTCAGAGACAGTAAAACGTTAATCATGCCCGTTCTTTTGGACGCTTTACAACCCGATGTACCTGCCGATCGTATGAAGGGAGCGCTTTATTTATTGACACACAAATCCATCATCATGCCTTGTCTCCGAAACTGGCAATTTATCCCAACTTTTGTCATGGCTATTTGTGGTGCCCAACATCAAGATAAACTCACTATTCAAGAGTTGATCCGTAAAGTGTTCTTGGATTATATCTCTCATTTCAATTCATTCTCTTTCCGTGTCATTACGCAAAACGATTTAAATCCCGTTATCTCTCAACTGACCGACGCATCGACTACTCCGGAATTTATGGCAAGGGCTACCAAGATTGCAGGCTGCGTTGAATCTCGTGCAGATGAAAGATTAAAAGCCTACTACGATTTGATTGAACAATTATTAGACTTTTTGCTGAATACAAGAGTGCATTGGCGTTTTGCTGCCATGGCCGCCAACTTTATTGAAGTCTTTTTGCGATCGGATGTCAAGCCTTCTCGTCGCTTGGCTGCGTTTGCTAATAATGCTGCGTTGTCCGAGTTACCCACCATGCGTCGTATTGGTATTAGTGCCACAATTCAGTTACTGCTTTACATCAAACAGCGTACTTTAGCCGGTGGAAATGAAGATCTTTTGATTACCAGAAGTATCCGTAACCCACTCAAGGTGGATGTGCTGGTCGATGATGATGCCATGATGGGAAGAAATTTGTTACAAGCATCATATCAAGGTTTGACACCCGAGAATATGGGCACCAGTATTCTTGTGGATAACTCTACTTTGGGCTGGTATGTTTGGCCTAAACAGTATACGGCTTATAAGATGAACACCAAAGACTTTTTGTTGGATACCATTGATCCTGATTCATTAGAGGCGTATGAAGAGTTCTCAAAGACGTTCCATAGTTCGGAATATTGGACAAAATTATGTGACTACTTGTCGCAAGAAGTGAATCAAAAGCAAGAAGATAGATTTAGTTCATCCGATGCTCGTTTGTTCAGCAGTATTTTCCAGACATTTGGGGATGGACCTTTGACTTGTGCTAAAGAGCATATTGAAAAATTATGTGAGGCCGCAGACCAAAAGAATTCGCAAAGAGCTGCCTCTGAAATTTTGGCTGGTTTGATTCGAGGAACCAAGCATTGGCATTTGACCAAATTGGAATCACTCTGGGCTTGGTTGACACCCGTTTTACGTAAGGTCTTTAATAGTATCACACCTGATTCGTTAACATACTGGGAATCCTTTGTTCGTTTCTGTGCTACACGTCGTGATCCTCGAAGAATTCAACCCTTGATGAACTTAATTTTGGAAGCTGAGCTAGATCCAACTTCCGATGCTGCCTTCAACGAATCACGAAAATTGTTACTTGTGCGTGCTTTGGTCGTCACCTTGCAATGGCGTTTTGAACCTTTGATCCAAAAGGTCTTGCCGACTTACTTTAGTAATATCCAACATCCTTATAAGCAAGTACGTGAAGTCATTGGTGTAAATATCAATGAATTATTACAGCTAGAGTGGATTCCTTCATTCCCGTCTGTACAAAATTTGTTAGTATCCAACGCGATGACCGATGGTGTTGGTAACGTACCTACGACCTTAACACCCATTCAAGCCGATAGAATTGAAGGTGTAATTTATAAATTGGATATTTGGTTGCAAGAGATGAATAAGGATAACACGGCACCAAGTGGATCCAGTGATTATGCTCATGCAAGTAAAACAGGTAAATTATCAGACCGAGACTTTTTATTACGTCATGTATATTTATTTTGAGAAAAAAAAAATAGTGTTATGCTGGTTACATGAAGCTTTGAACCATTGGAACTTGTCAGGTACTTTACCCTATATTGTTCCATTCTTACAGCGTATTTTTGCCATGCAAGAAGTGAACGATGATCAAGATTTACAAGTGATGGCGACGCGCGTACTTAACTTGACCGCTAGACTATCGTACCCACCCAGCATGCTACCCACCTTGATTGATCAATTCCTGACGATTTTAACCACATCCACCAGCTGGCATATCCGTATCCGTGCATTACCCGTGTTACAAATTTTCTTCTTTAAACATTTGTTTGTCATGAGTAGTGATCAATTGATCCGTATCATGGAAGTCATTGGTCAAATGTTGATGGATACACAGATCGAAGTGCGTCAATTAGCCTCCGTCACTTTAGGCGGTTTAGTACGTTGTTCGCAAAGAGACGCCATCCAGTCTCTGCTGACCCAATTTAGTGAAAAGATCCGAGTCCGTATCCCCAAACGAAAGCGAGATAAGGTGACGGGAAAGAATGTAGAGCCTGCTGGTTTTGCTGAGGCAGTTTTGAGGAAACACGCAGGTGTACTGGGTATTTCTTGTTTGATCAATGCGTTTCCTTACGAAGTCCCAGAATGGATGCCAGTGATATTGTGTCAATTAGCGGACTGTATGTCCGATCCAGCCGCAGAAATTCAGGTATGTGTAAAAAAACAAAGAGGATAGGTGGATGTAAATTAAAACTATTGTATATAGGCTACGATTCGTAAAACATTTTCAGATTTTAGAAGAACTCATTCAGATACATGGCATGAGGATATGTATAAATTTGATGAAGACCAGTTATCATTATTAAGTGATATGCTTATTTCTCCTTCTTACTATGCTTAGATTTTTCCTAATAAATTAATTGATAAACATGATGCCTTTTATTTTCTTTCTTTTGGGAGTGTGAGTTCCAGTTATGAAGAATGAGGCGTTTACGCAATACTTGTTAGAATAAACAACTTTATTCTCTATCGGTTTAATCAGTGCCATATTGAGTTGGTTTATTCTTATCGAACCTATACTAGCTGATTCGGGGTTGGTTTTATATGCGAGCAGCAAAGAATGCATCGGTCCGTAATTTTTGATGTGAAAAACAAAACGCGGTCCTTTTTTTTTTTTTTTTTTTTTTTTTTTTTTACAGAAATCTAGCAGCTTGTGTAATTATCGGATTCGTTACCGATTTATTCTGAAACCCCTCATTTTAAGGTTTTGATCAACATTGGCGTTTTTTTTTTTTTTATTTATTGCATGTATCTATAATGACTGTAGTTTGTGTCCGATTTTTTATAAATAAAAAATATAATTTTACAACATACAGATTTTGTATAGGACGTTATACGCTTTTATTGTATGTAATAAATACGATATGAACAAAGAAATGTTTATCGAGTATGAACAAAGAAATGTTTATCAGGCGTAAACAAAACATTACACAAACGGATCATCCGTACTACATAGGCTGAGTGCATAGCACTCGATAGTAATTCTAGGAGGCAAGTAATCCCCTTGAGTGTACCATCCTCAAAGCAATATAAACCATGAATTTTTCACAAAACAAAAAAAATAGTTTTAAACAAAGAAAAATGAATACTGTTTTGGAACCAAAGTTTATTGTAGGAGTAGATTTCGGAGCAGTTTCTTCTGAAGTGTCCATTGCGCATGTAGATGATCCGTTTAACGTATACACAGTTCACATATGGTAATCCATAAAAAAAAAGGCTTTACGTATGCCTGTAAATATATACTAAAATAAATGTTTCGCCCTATAATCTAGGGGCCAGGTAGCAGAAACGTCCATCAACCATCCACGTCGTTTCCATACATCCATCATGTATATCAAGGATGGTGAGAAAAAGCTCTTGTGTGGTGCGCATTCACCTTACGTAGGACCGGAAGATACTTACATACCCAGCATCAAGCAGTATCTGTTTGATCTTGCCTCAGCCGATGAAAAGCTTGGTCAGATGAAGGAAGGACTAACAATCCAAACAGTGGTGACGGATTATCTGGAGTGCTTTATTAAGTTGGCTTTGGAGAGATTGCAAGCGCATGATATGTTTCGTCAAAGCACCTATTTCCAGTCAGATTACGATTTGGATAATGTGTCAAACATTCGTTATCGTGTAGCCTGTCCCAAGTCCCTTCAAACATTTATGGCGAATTGCTTTATTGGCGCTGGAATTATTGAAGAGCACGAAAAAAAGCATCGACTGTCATTTGTCACAGATGTGGAAGCGATTGCATATGACCAAGTGTCGCTGGATCGAGATATTACTAAATTGGTGGCTGATCAAAGTTACTTGCTGTGTGATGTGGGTGAGATTTCGATCGGAATAGCTAAAGTCAAAGTGGATACGACAGAGTCTATGAGTACCGTTGAACTTATTTATGAAAATTCTGATAATGGGTCTACTCATTTGGAAGTCAAATTTAGAAAGTATTTAGAGGAAAACAGCAATGAATTGCATTTGGATCCCATCATCATTGAAAATTTGGTAGCGGTATTTCTTCGAGATATCAAGGTAAAAAAAAAAAAAAAAAAAAAAAAAAACCCTAATCGTGCGGAGAGGAGGATGAAAGAACCGTTGATTAATCACTGTTTAAACGGATTTAGTATAATTTCCATGAATGTGCTCAACGTGTGAGTTTTGGAGTTCTAAATACTGAACACAATCCCATCAGTATACCTTACGTAGACTTAGACCATCTGGTATTTCTACCCGTGATTGAAGATATCATACAACACATTGCAGGTGTTTTAAAGGCACATGGCGATTGTAAACTTATTCTATCTGGAAAATATGCCGCTGATATTTTTTTCAACCAAAAATTAAAAGAGAAATTGAACAACAATTTTATAAATGAAAATCTTGCTATTCTTGAAGAGTCGTACCTCACAGTTTCTTCGGGGGCAGTCTCCTCAGCATTAAGACCAAGTAATTTACAAACCCCTTTTGCCGCTACGGTCAACCCAGCACAGCCTATGCTCGATAACCATGGTGACAAAAGTAACAAAGAAAATGAAAAGTATGATTTTATCATCGGCATAGGTCAGTTTTAACAGTTAGCGGAAGAGAATGGGAGATGATGGCTAAAAATAGGTATTTGTTGTAGATTACGGTACTGCCTATTCTGGATGTTCCTATGTCAACCTTAAAAATGGATTGAACACAATCAAAACCATTTTTGAAAATTGGTAATGTCACTATTTCAAGTGATTTACAAAACAAAAAAAAAGTGATTTACGTTTTGTAACTCATTGTATTTATCTAGGCCTGGAGGAAGTTCCGTCATTTTTGGAAAGACACCCACCTTATTGACACGCGACAAGAAAAACAAAACAGTGTATTGGGGCGAAGAAGCCAAACTCAAGGCCTGTTATAACAAACACTTGACCCTTTTCGACAACTTTAAGGTTTTGTTATGTCCTGAGAACAAGGAACGATCCAACGAGAACAACCTCAGCTATTTTGATTTTAGTGAAGAGCCCAAAAGCCCTGGAGAAGAAAAAAAGGAGATTGCCAAAAAGCAAGACTATGCTGTCAGTATCATTTCCAGTTACCTTCAACTCTTTAAGAACCACGTACTTGAATATATCATTGACAGAGAGACCGATGACACGTTCACGTTTTATAACAAGGGAAAGCTTTTAAAGAAGTACAAGGTCAAGTATGTCATCACAGTACCAGCCATGTGGGGGTCCCAGGCGCTGGAAATTATGATGCAGGCAGCTATTGATGCCACCATCATTAAAGAAAATGAGCGGGATGATCTTTTGATTATCACTGAGCCTGAGGCAGCCGCACTTTCTTGTGAAAAGAAGTTCAATGAATTCTTTGATAAACCGGATGGCACCAACTTTATTGTATGTGATGCGGGTGCAGGAACTGTAGATTTGTTGGCGTTTCAATTGGATGCCAAAGAGCGACTTGATGAATTCGATGATGTCGTATTAGATTCTTCTATTTGTGCAATAGGTGGTAAAGGCATTGGTGAGATGTGTGGCTCCAATTACCTGAATATTCGATTCAAAAATTATCTGGTAAAGTTTTACAGTGATATGGGAGTAGATATTCATGCGTCCAAAGTAAACTTTGACAGTGTAATGCAAAATTTTGAAAGTTATCAAAAGGTAGATTTTCCCTTCATTGTATTGCATTCATATTACTAGAATACTCACACATTTTTTTTTCTGCAAAAAGAATAATTTTATGCCGAGTACAAGTGCTGACAGTTATTATGATATTCCATTGCCAGTCAGTATTCCCAGGGAAAACATTGAGCAATCCAACCAATACGTATTAGTTAACAATGATAGTACACTTCGCATGTCCAACAAAGATATGCAAGTAAAGGTGTTTGACCCTATCGTGGATACCATTCTCGATCTCCTCTATCGAAAGAAAAGACAGGCAGAAGCCAACGGGAACCAAAAGATAGATGCCATTTTGTTGTTTGGTGGATTCTCGCAGTCCAAATACCTAAAGAAACGAATCAGTGATGAATTTCAAGGCAAATGTGCTGTTCATGTTCCCTATACTAACGCCACTGCTATTTCACACGGTGCGGTCTCTTTTGGTTTGAATCCTTGTATGGTAGTCAAGGGATATGCAGGACAATCACTCGCTTTAGAAGTACAGGCTCCATTCCAAAAGACGGATATAGCAGATTCCATGTGCAAGATTGTCAATGGACCTCATGGTATGACTTATGCCAAGAATTGTCTGGATTATTTTGTCAAGTTGGATCAGGAGTTACACAATGGACAGTGTAGTATCTACACCAAAGAAGTATACATTGAATACCCTAAAGAAGCTGTCATTGGTAATATCTGATAATGTGAAATGTGGTATTCTGGCTCACCTTTATATATATATATAGCTATATTTTCATGTGACTCTAGAGAGAATTCGGACAGTCGATTTGTAACGAGCAGCCATAAAAAGATATTGGAAGCAAGAGTAGTTACACCGCCGACAGTGACTGGAATAGAAAAGGGAGAGATGATTCATTTTAAAGTGAGTCTACAGATGAAGGGCTCCAGTATTTATGTTCGTGTTGAGTGTCAAAACGCCTTGATCAATGACAATATCAAGGTAGCTGCCAGTAATGAGAAACTTTCTTTGGCGGTTGAAAATAAATGTACACTCAATGTACTTAACAAGAAACCTATGTATATGCATCCTTCTATGGCAAAAGAGAATGCTGTTTATGGATTACGAGTAAATTCGCCAAGTCGCTGATTAACAACTAAAAAAAAGCTCCAATAAAAATATATATATTTAATCGATAATAAATAAATTCTAAACTTGACTTTCTCATGATTATATATGCACACTGCTGACAAAACATAGATTTACAGTTTAAAAAGTCATAGGCAGCGTGTGTTTAAACATAGTACAGCCAAATTACGTTTTCTTCTTCTAAAATGATTTTTTTTTATCACTTGTACAAGACTGAGGTAAGACAGTCATCTGCAACAGACGCACGGAGCATTCGTTTTTTTTTTTGGATTTGTATTCAGCTTCTTACTGATGATGGCATAGTCATTGAGTATTATGTCCAAATACAGCATCTAGTTCTGTCTTTCTATTATTATAAATCATGGGGGGAATTATGTAAAATAAGCTCGCGCACTTTATTTTTTCTTAAAAAAGAAATTTGATCTTTTTTGATTTCATGCCGCTGGAGTTAAAATAGGTCACCATTATTCCAGAATTCTGTTGACGTGCTTTAATAACATAAGGTAGTAACATGAGATAAAGAGGAATTGTTTTTTTATGTATATCAAGTTGAACACCCAGACTATCATCATTTAAAAAAGGAAAATAGCATGTATCTCTTTTAAAAGGAAAGATGAGAAATGCAGAAGCACACCCCTCCTTTATCTGAAATCTTTTTTGTCTGACATCAATGCTTTTTTGGAGTACAATAGACCTTTTTTTCTTTTTCTTTTTTTGAAACTCACCACTTTTTTTTTTATCTTTCTTTCTAATTTTTTTTTTTTTCCCATCATGCCATTGTTTTCCAAAAAGATAGTCCCTACTGACATTACTGCCAGTATTGAAAAGGCCACCTATGGCAACGAGCTTGACTGGGCTCTTGTTTTTCAAATCTGCGATTCCGTCAATTCCACTGATTTGGGTGCGAAAGAAGCACGTAAGCTATTACAAAAGAAAATGATGTCGAACGATCCCAACACACAAGTCTTGGCTCTTGAGGTAACATTAGAACTTAACCAAAAAAAAAAAAAAGTGACAAAAGTTCTAATTCCCACCCCTTTCACAGATTTTAAACTCGTTAGCAGAAAACTGTACTGCAAAGTTTCAAACACAATTAGCCGCCAAGTCGTTTGGTGAAGACCTTTACCACTTGGCTTCGTCCAAGGTAAGCTGGGGGGGGGAAAGTGACACACGGGAGTAAGATAGTTTAAAATGGCGGGGGGTACTAATAAACATGTGGATGACAGACGATGGATGATAGAGTGCATGGTAAATTAGCACAGTGCTTGGAGACATGGTATGGACAGTTTGGAAATGACGTTAATTTCGGAGCTATTCGAAGAGCTCATGATATTATGCTAAATCATGTTACACCTAAACAAGGGCGACAACCCTCCCTGCCAAGACAAGTGGCTCGTGTAAGTTGAGAAACATGACTCTTTTTTATATTTATTAATCGCACCCTATAAAACTAGCCTGTGGATGTAAAGGGGGATATTGAGCTTGCAAAGAACAGTGCGCAATTATTCTCTCAGACGCTTTCTTTCACCGACCCAACAGTGGAAGATATCTCCAAGAATGAGCTTATTCAGGTAAAGAAACGTGTGTGTGTGTGTGTGAGAGAGAGAGAGAGAGAGAGAAAGAGAAAGTACTGAAATAGCAGAGTAAATAGGAGTTTTATGGAAAATGCAAGCAGGCACAGCAATTGTTGGCCTCTCATTTAGAAACCTGTGAAGATTCCGACGTCATATGTAAGGTGTTTAATATAAAAAAAAGGGGAAGGGAGGGAAAGGAAAGCTGGGTTACACATTAATTTAATTTGTAATTTTTTAAATGGTTTAAAAATAGCTGGATTGATTAATGCTAATAATGAACTTTTGAGTTGCTTTAAATCTTATGATGAGATGCTTGAACAGCATGCTGTCAATGAAGCTACTGTCAATTCGCAAACACTTTATCAACATACGCGTGGTCAGGTAAAAGAGAGAGAGAGAGAAAAGAAAAAAAACCAGTTTATTTAGTGTATGTTTATTCATCGTGATTTTAGGATGAACAACAACAACAACAACCATATCAGGCTGATGAAGAATTAATTCCCGTTAACTCTTCGTCAGATGCATCAGCCGTTCCTCGACACCAATACAAGCCAAGGTAAAAAAAAAAGAAAAGTAACACATGATGTTAAAGAAAAGAGAATAAATGAACTAATGAAAAAGAGGGGAATAAAAAGTGATGATCCATTTGATCCCTTTGCTGATACAAATCAGGTACCAACAGCTACATCAGCAAACACTGCAGGGTAAAAAAAAAAAAATTTGTTTTTGTGGGAAAAATAATAGTATGATTATTTTATTATTTTTTTAAATAACACACTCTTCTCCTTAGAAATACGTTACCACCACCACTTACCCCTCAAAAAATGTACAACGAGTAAAAATCAAAGCAGATGATGGGTTACCAATGCAAATATTAAAGAGAGAGAAAAAAAAAAATTTACTCATGTGAGTCTTAATCGTAGTGTGTAACCTTTTGCATGGATTGTCAACAAGGTTTTTTTTTTTTCTTGTTACATTTAACTTGTTCTTTTTTCTTTTGTGCTTCACTTTTTTTTTTTTTCGCTTCTTTTTTTTTTTTTTTTTTTTTTTTTGTAAAAAAGGGGTAGACAACACTTACAAAGATTACTTTTTTTTATTTTATAACAAGCAAATTCATCTTTCATCTTTTATATTCTATTTTTTTTTTTTTTTTTTTTTACATGTTCATATATACGTTTGGTGAACAAGGAGCGAGTTTTTCATCAACCTCTCTTTAAAAGAAAAATTTATTATTCAATCATTTAAAAAAAAAAAAGAAAAGAGATATATAAAAAAAAAAGGGGGAGACGCAACAAGAAACAAAAAAAAAAAAAAGGCGATTGCCTCTTTTTTACATTTTATCAAGGCTTTTCGTAATTAAATGCATGAGCTGGTTAAAAATGAAAAAAAGGAGAGTAGAGCACGGCCATTACAACAGACACGCACGGGCCCCACCGCATTATCCAACAGTATGTCGTTATCAACAGAAGAGAAGCAACAAAAAAGAATAGCAGCCAGAGCAGCAACAGCAATGGCACAAGTGCTACATCGTAGACGCGAACCCCGGTCACTTATGATGTGGGGCGACCGGAAGAAGGTGCGCCGATTTTTTTTTTTTTTTTTTTATATCATTAATTCCACACATATACTTTATTAGGCACATTTTTTTTTTGTTACTATTATTATGACCCTTCTCTCTCCTCTTTTTTTTTTTTTTTTTTTTTTTTCTTGCGTGAAAAAAAAAAATGACCTTTTCTAAATTTTGCGGTTGTTATTTTGGAGTATCTAATTTGGATCAATTTCATTCGTGTTACGACCAAAAAAAAAAAAAAAAAAAAAAATTAGGGAGGATAGAAGGTGAACAAATATTTCAACATAATAATAGTACAACAAAATGTGTTTCATAAATCAATTATTACGGCTTATTCACCCTCTCTCTTCTTTTCTCTTTTCTCTTTTTGTTTCTTTTTAGGCCATCATCAAGAATTACCCTGACGGAAAGCAGGAAATCATTGTTCCACAAACATTAACAGCAGAACAAGAACATTACGAATTTCCACCTCGATCAAGATTCCTAAAGAAATTAGCCACCTCGACCGCCGAACGTAAAAGACTGTCCATTCTTCAGGATCAAATCGTTCCTTGTCCAACCGCTACTGTCCTTGTGGATGATAAACAAATGAAGCCTCAACCAGATCAATTAGCTCTTCAAGAATGGTTTGCAAAGAAGGACGATTTCAGTCACTCCAACAAGGATAGAGTCGTCATCGATTGGATGAACGATGTCGAACGATCTTCCAAAAATATCTTGTTGAAACACGCTCATAAACCATCAGCATCTCCCTCTCCTTCCTCCTGTTACAGCAACAAGATTCAATTCAAATCAGACGCTGGAAAACGTTGGGCTAACTCCATCACATCAAATACATCACTTCTTCCACCCGATGATACCTGTCGTAAGCATTATGTGCCCAGAAGATTATTACTCTCTCGATCTCCCGTTGCCATACCCACCGTGATTACAAACAACAAGAGTACGTCTCAACATCACGATGTCACCATGGTTACAGCTTCCAAGATACAAAAGATTTTAGGCGACTATCAGACCACCAATCGACCTTCCGCGGCCATGGTAGAGAACCAAATTGCCATGACGGCGATGGCTACATCGGGTCAGCGTACACCTATTCTGGGTTTAGCACAACTGATTGGAATGATCATGACTTCGAACAAACAACTAGAGCAACGATTAGTCGACCGTGCAGAAGAGTTGGAATCTGTACTTCACCAAGAGATAAAGAAACGTCAGTTAGTGGAAGATACAATGCATAAGTTGGAATCCGTCTATAAAGAGCAGTTACAACAACAATCATTGCAAATGGATCAAAAGGAAGAAACGAATCAAACTTTATTAGCCCAATTGGAACAAGCCATGAAACGCGATCCATTGTTTACGTCTACTAATCTGTCCTCAACTCCTTCTAATAATAATAATCGGAAACGACCTTCTGTGCTCATCAGTAGTAAACGACCTCCTCCTCCCTCCTCCGCCACCAAAACCAAAAGACCTTCTACCTCTGTAAAACCATCAACACCAACCGCTGTAAGTACGAGAAAGCCTTCCTCTCTGCTTTCTAAAACCCAACCGATGACAGCTCAAAAACCCGTGTCAGGAAGAGCCTCTGTTGTACCTTCTTCTAAAACCGCCCTCTTGTCAAGACCTTCTGTTGTTCCTGTGACAAGACCTTCCCCTAATCCTGTGACAAGACCTTCCCTCAATCCTGTGACAAGACCTACTCCAACCTCCCGAAGACCTACTGTTGTGCCTTCTGCTACACTTGCCTCCAAAAAGCAAACCATTCTAAACTCTACACGAGCCTTGGGGAGACCTTCATTAGCTGTACCGAAAAAGACAACACGTCTCTTGTAAAATGTATATGTTTATTCCATTTCTCTCTCTCTCTCTCTTAACTCTTTTTTTTTTTTCTCGTTGTTTTATTTTCTATATATATATCACCCATTTTTCTTATATCATAACACATATATCCCACACACACCCATCTAGCTATAGTTCTTATACATTTTTTTTTTTTTTTACCAAGAAACTTATCTCTTTACCTTGTATATATTATATAAAAAAAACCTTGTTCTCTCTCTCTCTCTTTTTGTTTCCTATTAGAATTTAAACATGTGCAAAGAAAGTTTTCGTATCACACTGATAAATGTTTGGAGCTTTTTTCGGGGTTGTAAAGACGCGCCCAGCCAAAAAAAAAAAGTTTTTTTTATAATTGGGAGTGGTACTACATTTATAAAAAGTCTATTTGACACCACATGCATTAAAAACTCTTGGACCACACCATTTCTCGATAAAAAGCACCTGCATAATATAATTTTGTAAGCTATTAAATTAAAATGTAACAAACAGAAAGAGAGAGAGACAAAGAGAGGGGATAAATGAAATGCCTCCCTTTTTATAAATATGTTTTTAAACAGAAAAAAAAAAAAAAAAATATAGGATTTATTATTTACAGTAGAGGGAGAAATATATAAGGGATGAAAATAGTAAATTAAAAAAAAAACGAAAGAGATGATTAAATTCCTTGTGACTCTTGCTCGAGTCTGTACAAGAAGGCTAAAGTACGACTTAGATTGGCACAGCCTTGTTCTAATTGTAACGCACGATAAGTTTTTAATAAAGAATGAGTAGCGAATTCAAACATTTGTGCTCTGTGAGAATGCATCAGTCTAGCATTATTCAGCATGTTGGAGTAATATTCTTGTCCAACCTTGGCAAAATGCTCTGACAATCTTGAAATCGAAGTGGACCAGACACCATCAAATTGTTGCTCTCTTGCCTTTTCGTTGTTACCGGATGGATGTGTAGAAAGCATTTGTCTGCACCAGTAGTAGGACCCGCTACTTCTGGATCTGGGTCGCTTGTATTTGAGAATGTTTGCCCAATCCCAGCCAGCAGGTTCAAATAAGGGCTTGGCCATATGAAAGAGAGTGGATTCATCTTGCTCATTGTCCAACAAAATGACGGATTTTCTTCTTTCCAGAAAGGTAGATTCTCGTTTATTTGTGGGTGAATGACTACTACTTTCAGCATGACCTTCTTCGGTGTCCAGCACGGTAGAAGACATGGGTAAACTAGGAGGATAAGGTAATATCACTGAATGAGGTCGATTTGTATGTATTTGCTGAGACAATTTTTGAATTTCACCCGTCAGATCGACATGTTCTTCTTGATTGAAAATGCGTTGATAACTGCCAGCCATTCTTGCTAAATTTTGAGCGGCATTTTCTCCAAACACCATACTAAAATCCTTGGCCAGATTATTTAATATATCTTTTTTGGATTCGTCCGTCATTGAATTTTCGTAAATGATGTAGTATTTTCCAATCGAACCAAGTCCAAGACCCAAGGTAGCTAAATGAGTTCGGTTCACCTTGACGACGCGGTATTCGGTATTCTTGGAACACGACGATAAAATGGAGAGAACGATATTTTCTACATCTCGCTTTCGATGCTTCCAATCGTTACGTAATTTTTTAAGTGCTTGTAATAAATCAGTTAAATCGTCATGGGCTTGACCGTATTCCTCTAATAATCCGCTTAAATATTGAACCTTGTCAAGATGGCTTAAGCGCTCTCCATCGTTGGTGATTTGTCGGATATTTTGTAATTCTAATTGTGCAGTGTATCTTTCTCTCAGCATGATGACCCATTCAGTTAAGGCGTTCCAATCTTGTGGCATATGTCCGTGTTCGATTAATGATTTAGCCATCTTGTAAGTTTGTTGTTGCTCTGATTTAGATAATAAGCCTAATCGTTGACAAATTTCCATTTGTTCAACTGAACAAACTTGTGCAAATGAATCGATGATGGATCTTTGTAAGTCGGATAATTCATGTTGTCCGTTGTTTAATAAAGTATGCGTGGATAATGTTGGCTCTAAGGAAACCATTGTTGTCATTTAAACAAGAGAGAAAAGATGCATAAAACTTGTACCACTTTTTTTTTTCTTTCCCCCCTTTTTATAAAGGATATCTCACCCCCCCCCCCTTTATATTTGAAAAAAAAAGGGGGGGGGAGTAGAAGCGATTCATCCAAAATAGTATTTTTTTTATGTTACACATCCCTTTTCTCAACACAAGGTGTGTTTGGATCTCCCATCATCACATTCAAAATGAAAAATCATACGTCTTTTTTTAGTTACAATGATTCTTTTTTTAATTACCTCTCTTGTATAAAGTGACCCCCCCTTGGAATATGAGTGTGTTATTTGAAGATTCAAGGGGAATTAGTAGTAGTAGAATGCGGTTAGTGAAGAGTGGTAATAGTAGTGAGACTCAATGCATTCATAAACAGGAACATGATCAATGTATAATATGAATATGCATGGCTGAAAAAGTCAAGATGCATTCAATTGGCCTTTGACAGAATGGTCTGATATTATCCCCCATGTTGTACCATGATCGAAATGACATTAATTCTTTTTTAATGTTTCAGTTTAAGAAAAAGTCATTCGATTTATTTGAGTCTCCCTTTTTCATTGAAATGTGTAACATGGCTCTGTCTTTTTTTTCTAGAATACTAAACTTTCCCGCCCTTTTTTTCTTTCTTTTTGTTGTCTTTTTAGAATCACCGCCTATCGTCTTTTTTTTTAGCAAGAGTCCTCTCTTTATCCGAGCACTTGGTACACGAGTACTCTCTAGGATAATTCATTGCCTTTCCCTTTCATTTTTTTTTTTTTTTTTTTTTTTATTTATTTCTATTTTTTTTTTACACCCGTTCGTGTGGTTAAATTAGGCAACTTTTTTTTTTTTTTTAAACCGTTGTATCATAAATCCACGGATAAGATTATTTATTTTTATTAATACTGACCCTATTCATCAATTACAACACCTACTTAAAAAAAAACCTTCTTCCATTTCGTATAACAAATAAAATCTTATTGTTTTCTCCCCCTTTGACTTTTCTCTTTACTCTCGCTTATTAATGCAAAATTAAATGGTGGCACACTCCTCATAAAAAAAAAAAAGCGGGGTGTTAAACACACACACCCTTTTCTAAAACCCCCCACGCGTGTTTGCCTTTTTATTCTTTTTAAATCCACGATATCCACACTGGAGAGACTTTTTTGTGAGAGATCAACGAACGTACTAAACTGCTGAGGATGGTCAAAGGCCATGCCGAGTGTCACAAATAAAGAGGACCCCCATCACTTCACCCACTTATCACCCAAGGAGGACGGGGCGGGGCGAAATCGCTTTTTAGAATCGGGGATCTCTCGCATGGTATAACTTTTGATCGGAAAATCTTGATTTTTTCATTGGGTGTAAATAGAAACCATGGCGATGCTGGTCCTGGGCTTATACTTAATTTTTTTTACTTTTAAATATTATTTCCGGGGGACAATAAGATAGATTAAAAAACGTAGGCCGTGTCTTCTTTTCTCTTAAATCAGGATACAACCACATCATGATTTAAGTATCTAGGTAGGTTTCTACACGAGGTTGAATTAAACATGTTGATCAAAAACAGATATTCTTCATTTCTGGTGTAATCCATGCTAAAACATATAAAGATCCAAAAACCTTAAATTTCTCTCTCTCTCTCTCAGTACATTAGCCACATTATTAAAAAAGTTAAAACTGTTTCTCCGTTAATTTATTGGGCAAGAGTAACCCCCCATTATAGGTGGTGCCATGTGGGTGTAACAGATCCTATTTTTAAAAATAAAAAATAAAAAAAATGACCTCATTTCATGCCCATATGAAGAGAGCAGGATCCTCCTTTTTGTAACACCAAAACAACCTTATCTATTTAGAACTGGAGTTCTTACTTTTTATAGAACTTCAGCTATCGAAAAAAAAAAAGAGGTAAAGTAGCACGGATACAGATAGACGTTGTTTCCATGGTTCTTGCTTTTTTTACAGTATACATCTTTATAATAGGCCAAAAAAAAAAAAAGCTGACACTCACTTTTTTTCAGTGATGAGATAATTTATCACTAGTCCAAAAAACAATCAAGAAAAAAGATCTTTTACTATTCTAGAAGCGGGGGACTCTTTGTTTTTCCACTTCAATAAAAACTCCCCTCCCGCCCATTTTATCTAAAGAATATCACTGATTGTTAAAATAACCCTTCTAAAATTTCGCCGGGGCATCGGAATGCTTATGTACACATGGCTAATCATACCGTAAATGTAAAGAATAACTGCTTAGTCAAAGCAAAAAATTAAAAAAAGGCAATACAAGCTAGCCATATATCGTAGGCAATATTTTTACTCGTGAACAAACCCCACAAGCTTTTTTTTTTTTCTGAACACAAGACATGGCATTGATCTTTTTAGCTCCCCCACCAAATAATTTTTTAATATAAGGTAAAAAAATTACAGGTACCATTGACACTAAAAAGAAGAGTGTGTGTTTTTATACATTATTCGTACTTTGAATTCAGACACATGATCTCCCAAAGACGTATAGACAAATCAAAAAGAAGACACAATATATTTAGAGGTCCAAGTTAGTCTTTATTCTCTGTATCAAGACATGCAACCTCGATGGCTAATTGTCATCATATTCTCTTATTATATGGTTCATCCAATATCTAATAAAACAGTCTTACAGACAGCGGCTATTTTTTACATAATTCTAGCAAAAAAAAAAAGTCATTTCCATCGTCTGGTTGAAAAAGTCAAATAGGAAAAAAGTTACTAAAGACAGTGATTAAAAAAACGAGTGAGAGGCCTGATATGGTAAAGATACAATAGTTTGGAGGAAGAAACCGGCATCTAGAGTAAAATCTATAGGTAATATTGAGTTTTTTTTTTTTTTTTTTTTTTTTTTTGTAGGAAAGTATCACCTATTGAATATCACACCAATTACACAAGCTGTCACTAAAAACTATTAATTACATCCAAGTAGCCTTTAAATAGTCTTGAGAAGGTTTTAATTTAAGGAGTACGGTATTACCATGAAAACTAAGCATCAGAATGTAGTAATCATCGAGTATGTAATGATCATGTCTTTTGCATGATTGGGTTCATTGCTAAGCCAAAGGCAATGTACTGATTCTCCGTTCGCTTCCTTTTTGTTTTCACTTTTCCTACGTTCATTAAGGAATGCTGGTCATACTTTCTTTGGTTAATCTATTTGGGTTTTTTTTTGGATTTTTGGATTTTAGTTTGATTCGCTGTCTTCTTTTCTTTTGATTTTCTGCCTTTCTGCCATAATATGAAATATTACTTGTGATTTAAAGGTAATACAGTTCACCATGTTAATAAAAACAAAAGACGTGTCCTCCAAGAAAAAGATATGATTTAGGGCTTATCAAATTAAATAAAAAGGATACAAGGTTAAAAAGAAAGGATTCGTAACATTGATGAAAAAAAGCATGCTGTATAGTCAATCATTAGAATATACTCTTTTATCTGAAGGATTTGAACAGAGAAAAAAAAAAGTTAGGCTTTAAGTATGTCTTTCTTTCTCTTCATAGCCCACTTGTAAAAATGTGGTGCGGTCTACCAGAAATCGATGTTTAGCTCTGAAGATCATAGCAATGTCAGATATTTTGCTTCACTAACTGAACTGAAAATATTGACGGGAATACTGTAAGAAAACCAGCACTCCCTCCGGCAAAATCCGTGTCCCAAAAGAGGCGTCCTAAGAGTAATAAGAGAGAGAAATTGAGGATTCGACCTGAAGAAGATGCCATAAAGTAAGAAGTAAGAAGCGCAAGGCTGATACAGTAAATGGCTTCCCAAACGCAAACCCACAAAAAAAAAAAAGGAATATAAAGCAGGAAGCATAGGCTTGTTAAAGGAGGTTTCTTTGAAGTATCTATTTTTCTAATAATTGGTCCAAAAAAACCGTATATGTGTTATAAAAGATACAACGGTACTGCTCTGAAATGATTCGGCTTTTTTTTTGGACAACTGGATCCATTTGATGCCAACCAAGCTTTAGCTTTGATTGGTCTAAGGTGATGGTAATTATGGATTTCAAGCAATCGGCCTTTTATTGTTCGGTCATAAAGAGGATTGTATTCAAGCAAAAACGGCAATGCTAAGCACTCTCCGCTCTTACCGAAACGTATATGAAACTGTAGAGTTGGATATATAATATTTCGAGAACAAACGGCATGCCAGAAATTGTCTATGTCTTGACAGTGAAGATCAAATTACATGTGGTCTCGTGCTATCGGCTCCCCACAACTGGTGGCTGATACATTTAAAGACTAGCACTTTTAAGTTCCTTTGCCAAATGTTTTTGAGAAACTGGTATCAAATATGATCAAGTAAATGTTGTATACAGCAAGTTGAGACAAACTCTTGTCCCAATTTTTTGACTTGGACACTTAATATTTGACCAACTCAATGATATATTTTTTTGAGAAATTCCCATTTCTTTCTTTTTAGAACGAAAAAGCAATATCAAAATCAACAAGCTCATTGCCTATGACCTGTTGGTCAGAAATAGACTGTCTTCACAAAAAAGCTGCAACAGCTCACGAAGATATCTGTACAAGCGAGTTTTCTGATTTTTATCGAAATTTCACTCTTTTCTATCACTTTAAAACTCAAATAAATATTATCCTTTTTGAAATCCATTATACTTTTTCTTACTTCTACCATGTTTACTAATATTGTTTATCTCTTCATTCAAAAAAGAAAAAAGAAAAAAAATCCGGGCCGAAAAAAAAACGGTGTCCGTATAAATCCAAACATACGGACACCAGATGATACTAGGTGAAAACATTAAATTGCTGTCTAAAGTGTTTCCTTTATTGTGTCCTTCAATTTTAGACCAAAATTCATGCATAGGGTTCAAAAAAAGTAAGTAAGGTGATATAAATAGATATTTGTGGCATCTCTAAAATATAGCGTTCAAAAAACAGTGTAATGACGAATTCTTTAATTATCTATAACATTCAACAGTCTATAATTTTTGTGTTTATCAAGAACATCCATACCATTTTCGAGCAAATTAACAGTATCATAGGAAGCGGTTTCTTCTTTC